CCAGCCAGGGATCAAACCCTCACCCCCTGCAGTGGAGGCACAGAACCTTAATCACTGGACCGCCAGGAAAGTCCTGGAAAAGGGTCTTTTGTCACCTTCACCTAACATGACGAGGCTGTGACCCCTCATTTGACTGGCTTCTGCATACATCTGTTTGTGTCTGCGTGTGAGGAACAGGCAGAGACACATGCTCACTGAGAAGAAAAGAACTTCATTTAATCATAAGGCTATGGGAGCCAAGAGACCTTTTGGTTTATCCTTGTTTCAGATGAGCAAACTGAGGCAGTGAGGCCAAGCAGTTCTTGCCAGTTCACACAGCCAGCCAGCTACTGAGTCTGGGCCAGAACCCAGGGGTCCTGCCTCCCTTGATACCAACTGCAAGTCTGGGTTTCAAAAACCACCCTTGGGTTGAGTAATTTGCTGCAAGGAATCACAGAACTCACTGAAAGATGTTATACTCACAGTTTATTTCTGGGAAAGGACAGAGATCAAAATTAGCCAGAAGAGTAGATACAGAGGTAAGAGTATGGGAGGGTTCCCAGTGCAAAGCTTCTATTGTCCTCAGAATGTCTGATAGTCCTGGTGTTGATATTAATGTACAGAATATTCATGGAGTGTGGTCAACCAGGGAAACTCAATTAAGCTTCAGTGTCTTGAGGTTTTATTGGGGCTTCATCCCATAAGCATGAGTCATTGATATATTGTCCATGGGACCGAACTTAGATTCCAGCCCCACCCCACTCCCTGGAGGTCAGACTGATATCACTTGGCCTGAGTCATCTCATTAGCATAAACTATCTGGCATGAGCTAAGGGGCCCACCAAGAATAACAAAGACACTCCCATCACTTGGGAAATTCCCGAGGTTTAAATGATTCCTCCCAGGAACCAGGGACAAAGGCCAGACCAATTTGGGTAAAGCCAAGTTCTTCACTACACACCTCGTCTCGGGAGCCATAAAAAAGCCTGAGCACAGAAGAATTGATGCTTTCGAACTGTGGTGCTGGAGAAGACTCTTGAGAGTCCCTTGAACAGCAAGGAGATCAAATCAGTCAATTGTAAAGAAAACCAACCCTGAATATTCATTCGAATGACTGATGAAGCTAAAGCTCCAATATTTTGGCCACCTGATGTGAAGAGCTGACTCACTGGAAAAGACCCTGATCCTGGGAAAGATTGAGGGCTTGAGGAGAAGGGGCGACAGAGGATGAGATGGTTGGATGGTATCACTGACTCAATGGGCATGAGTTTGAGCAAACTCCAGAAGACAGTGAAGGACAGGGAAGCTGGCATGCTGCAGTCCATTGGGTCACAAAGAGTTGGACAAGACAGAGACTGAAAAACAATAAAAGGAAGTTCCAATAAAAAATAAAAATAGCTATACTGAGTGTGCGCTAGGTGCCAGACACTGTACACGTATTTTGTCAAATTCTCACAACAACCCTGCAAAGCTGATGTTTGGTCCTTTTTTACTGATGATAAAATTGAAGCTCAGAAAGTTGCCTAAAGTTGCCTAAAGTTTTAGAGCTGGAAAACAAACAGATCTGACTATGCTGACAAACTCCTTGGGTCCTTAGATTCATGTTGCCAACTTCATTCTTTCATTTATTCATTCAACAAACATTTATTCAAGCCCAACTATGTGCCAATAACAGCTTTAGGTGTTGAAGATGCAGCAAAGAACAGACAAAAATCTCACTCATATAGAGTTGATATTCAAATGGGGGAGATAGATAATAAGCACTAAATGTGTAAAATAAATATTTTGAATAATTTAAAGCAATGCATGTAGTTTGTATGTGTGCATTTGATTCAAACTGTAACAATTGTGAAGTTTGACTGTGGACTGCTATTATATATTATTAGTTTTGTTACATTTGATGATGACACAGTAACTATGTTTTCCCAAAATAAAGGTACTTATCTATGAAAGATGCAGGCTAAAGTATTTATGGATAAAATAAAATTATAAAATGTTGCTAATTATTGATGTTGGATGATAAGATACACAAAGAAAGACCTTTATATGTTCTAATTCAGTGTGTATTTGAACACTTTGTTAGTACAAAGTACAGTTTTTTGCATTTTTTTTTTTTTTGGTTGGTTGCTTGTTCTTTAAGTGGATGGGGTAACAGATAGGATGTATAAGAGGTATTGCAAGACCAAAAAGCAAATCAAGGAAGACTTCACTAAGGTTACAGTGAAGCAAAGACTTGAAGGAGACAGGGAAGAGATTTTTGTGGTTCTCTCGGAAAGAACATTCCAAGCGGAAATGGGAGCCCTGAGGTGGGAGAGTGCCCGCTATGGCATGTTCAAAGCATAAAAAGCCAACTGCTGGAAAGGGGAGATCATTGAGTAAAATTGTAGGAGGTAGCATCAGAGTTCAGAGATGGATGAGGAGGAGAGGAAATGCATACAGAGCCCTATTCAACAGGGAATTCACATCCAAATTATGTAAGCATACACACAAAACACTAAGGGATAGTGCAGTCAACTTCATAGAAAAACTGGCAAAAGACTTTAGCTGGCCCTTTACAGAGAAAGTTATGGCCAATCAGCACAGGAAAAGGTGTTCTATTTTATTAGGCATTAGGGAAATGCAAATTAAAACCACAATGCCACGCTTTCACATACCCATAGATAAGAGGCAGGCAATGCTAGGTATTAGAGAGGAAACAGAATTCTCATACACTGCTGGTGGGTATGTAAATTGGCACACGTGGTGTCTACCAAAACTAAAAATCATGCAGCACTCTTAAGCAATCCACCCCATTTCCAGGTATATATCCAACAGAAAGCCATGTAAATATTCACCGAACACTGGAAAAGTATGTTCAGAGCAGCACTCTTTCTTAACAGCCCAAACTGAAAACTATCCAAATGCCCAGTGACAATGGGCTACTCTACCGTATTCAGAATAACAAATGAAAGAAATGAATCTCATAAAAACAGCAAGCAAAGGAAGCAGGCACAAAGGGCCTAACACTATGTGATTCCAGTTATGTAAGTTCAGAAACAAGCAAACTTAATCTGTGCTGTTAGAAGACACAGTAGTGGCTACCACTGTGGAGAAAGTGACTGGATAAGAGCTTGTGGGAGGTGAGGGGAGGGGAGCTGATGACAACCTGTTTCTTGATCTGGATGCTGGCTAAGTAGAAGAGTTCAATTTGTAAGCAGCCACCACTGATCATCACCACTGATGATGTGTATAATTTAGATACTTTTCAGTATCTGTATTATAGTCAATAAGCATTAAAAAAAAAAATCATGCAGGAGTGCCTTAGTTCCCTCCTCTGAACTACCGGTGAAAACACCCAGCCACCCCTACCTGCTTCATGCTGCATCAGAGGGACGCAAAGCACTGTGCATTTTTGGCTTAAGAAAAGAAGACATGCTTTCTCAACTCACAGCTGCAACCCCTACGTTTAAAGCTGCTGAAGCCATCGCAGGGAGCTCTCTGGCTTATGGGAGGGGGGAATCTAAGAACTGGGCAAGACTGTAAATAAAGTCTGAGAACTCTCTTCCCTAATAGATGTTAATAATGTACCTTACTCAGAGAGTCAGACTCGACTGAGCACACATACACACACATTTCATATTATGCAACAGAACAATTTCAAACACCATCATGATGCTAGTTAGGTTATGGCATTGTTTTGAGAGCCATCATTTTGAGTTTAAAGAAAAAGAAATTGAATATTTTAAGTGTAGGCATCATGAGCTCTTTTTAAAACCAATTTTAAAACCAAAATTACAACTTTTCAAACTAGAGGCATTGAAACATCCTACAGATTTTCATTTCTAACAAGATGCAAACAGCATACAAAAAGCATGTTGGGGGCCTCACTTTAAAAAAGAGAGTAATAGTCTCAACCTGAGATCAAAAAAATGAGAAAATCACTGTGGATTTTCCCCAAACCTATTGATAGGTCTATTTCTTCCTATGCCCTCATAAGGAGCTATTGTTTCGGAATTCTAAGAGTTTCAAATAAGCACCTGGTTAGGACCAGTTTATCAGTCCTTCTGGCTCAATAAGCTGCTTTTCAGTGACCTCAGGGACTTTGACCAAAGTCAGCTTGTTTCCTCCTTGGCATTTTGGTCTATTTTGGTTTGGGGGTTTTATTTTTTCCCCCTATATTATTTTTTCACTTCTTTAGATTTAATTTTCACTTTTATCATTGTTTCCTTTCCCACAGTTTTTCTTTTTTAAAGCTAGTTTCTTGCTATTTGCTTTTGTTCACTTTATCCTTCTCTGGCATCGTGTTTTGATTTGCCATAAAGACCAGTTCATGGGGTGAATTTTGAACCGATTTGATTTGGACCAAGCTTCTCATCAGCTCTTCCCAAATGTAAGCTGACATTAGGACACCTCGATTCCAAGCACAGCAGTGAGTCCGCCATGCTGAGGGGCCCCTGAGCCTTCTCTGCTGAGGAGACACTCAGATTCACATGGTCTCCTGCAGACCTCCGAGACCGTAGGCAAGGGAGGCTGGGATCCAGCACATCCCGGCTGGGAAAGCGACAGCCATGAAGATTGTTGATGAGACTGGACAGAACTCTTCCAGCCTCCGGAGACAGTCCCACAAAGCAGGAATCATGAAGGCTTGGATCATCCCAACAAAGTGAAATCTCTAAAGTGACCAAGGCTGAGGAAACTCCCCACCTTGTTCGGAGGATGCTAGTGGAGGAGAGGTGTGTGAGCAGCCGTGGCTGAAGGCAGTGGGAAAGCAGAGAGGCTGAAGGCAGAGTCCACAATAGTGTGTGCTGTGTGGTCACCAGGCGGGTGCTGTCCACAGAGCTTTACAAGCAGAAAATCTGCTCTTGGATGTGAACACGAACATCAGACTTCAACTTCTTCAGCAACAAATTCACCTTTTACTACAAGCTGGACAACTTCTGGGGTGGTCCCCCTCATGCTGCCCTGGAACTCTCGTAGTGAGAACCACAAGAAGTCATCCTGGCCACAGTGTGATGGATTCCTGCCTTTTGATGGACAGAATTTCAAGGAGCAGCCAGAGGGGTGCTAGAACAGAATACATTAGGTTCACTTTTGGATGGATGGTTATGGAGTGAAAAGCTGTTTAAGAAATCTCTGATTCTCAGTAAGAAATAAGAGCAAATTATGAAGGATCCATGGATTATTGTGGGTCATGGATATGAGGAACTAAAGCTCTACATGGAGCCACTCTCTGACTATCAGGACTCTGGGCAGACTGACTTCATGGCATCCATGGTTACACCTGGAGATGGAGATCCAGGACTCACTGATTGGCCAGAAACGGGAGGCAATGTTCCAGTATCCCCCCTGGGTTATAAGAGATCTGAGCTGGAGGGCTGCCGAATCACGCTGAAGCCTCAGCCCTCAGCTGATCTAACCAACAGCAGCTTTCCTTCCCCACCCACTACGTGAGGGGATGGCGTCCCCACCAACTACAAGCAGCACATCCCCACCTCTAACTGTTACTTAGAGCATTCAGAGGAGGAAGGCAGATCTGGAGGACGGAGGATCACAGATCTGGAGGACGGAGGATCACAGCACAGCCAGCTGCCCGCAGCGAAGATGACCACCCCTGTCCCCTGCCAACAGCACCCTCTCCACCAGCACAATCAGCACAGCCCCAGCCTGTCCCCATGCTCACCCTTCCCCCTGCAAGGTCAGCAGCTGGAGTGGAGCCCCGGGTCTGTCCAAAGGGAACTCCGCCCACAGGGGTGGCCTCACAGGTGCCAAACCCCAGGCTTCTGCAAGGAGGTGAGACCCCAGTCTCTCCCTGTGGAGCTTCTCCAGGAAGTTCAAGTTCAAATCTATGGGAAGAAATTGAGGTTTGCCAGAGGAACCTGAATGAACCTGAAAGCAAAGACACAGGGAAGACCCTCCACCTTCACGTGGTGGGCAGCGGAGGCAGTGATAAGACAGTGAGCTGTGCCCAATACACTGCAGATGGAGGATGGAGACCACGAGCTGCTTCGAGAGACAGGCGATGATGCGGGGACAGAAGACAATGTGGGGACAGGAGACAATGTGGATACAGGAGATGATGCAGGGACAGGAGATGATGCGGGTCAGGCACTTCTCCAAGAGAGTAATTGCTGTTGAAGTTACAGTTGAAGCATCTCCATGGCCTCCTGGAGCATTCATTGCCTCCAGATCCACCCCTGGAGGACCAGAGAAAGGGCTGCTCTGAGCTGAGGCCATGCTCACACGCCTGGACCAAACCTCAGCCAGTGTTTCCGTGTGACCCTGCTCCTGCCATGATCCCCTCTTCTCTTCCACTGAGCGCAGAGCTCTGTAAGATGAACATAGGCAACTCCAGTGAGAACACACAGCTGTTTACTCAGAGCTGCTCAGTTGACGGAGTCACCACTCTCACTCATGTTTGGCGGGGAGCCCAGGCTGGCAGGGTAGAGGAGCGCTCCCAGGTGGAAAGGGAAGGCTGGGAGTGCATAGATTGGAGGCTGGTGGCCAGTGGCCGCCTCCCCTCTCCGCTCCACTGGGACCATGGAGACTGATCGTGGGGTTTCTTGGGAGGGGCTTGGACTGGGGCTTGGAGAGTTCTCTGTCCAGTCCTCACAGGCTCACTTCTAATCAATTTGCTCCCCTCAACTTCTCCTTCAAGCAAATGCAACATGCTCCCACCCACCCACTGACCCTGGGCCTCGGGCTGCAGAGGTAAGGGGTAGGGGCTCTGGCCTCCTTCCACCCCGAGCCCTGAGCCCTCCTCCTTCCCCAAGGCAGATGTTTCTCCACAAGGTGCTGTGCAAGGGTGTTTGTCCCCTTGTCAGCTCTGTGCCATCGCCTTCCCCACCACCCTCTGGGACCTGGAGTGTGGAGGGCTGCAGAGACTGTAGGGCCCCCTGGGGTCCCCTGGGCTGTGGGCCTTCCTGGTGACAGGGACGCTGAGCATCCGCATCTAGGAGGGCCTTTGTCTGAAAGCACCACTACGCACCACCCTCTTCCCCATCGTGTCCCTGGGTCCACCACGATCTGGGTCACAGCTAGTTCCTCACAGGGAGCCCCCCCATCACTGCCCCACCTCTCTGTCTCCCAGCCATCGCTTCCTGACAGGATTGCCTGTTCGTGGACTGGGGGACAGACTGGGCAGAGTGGACCCCTCCTGGTAACCCTGCAGCTGGTGTGGGTGCAGGCTGTGGGTGCCAGCTGCTGCTGGCATCTCACCCCTTATCTAGACCAAGCACTCCCCTTCCCTCCACTCCCTCTTTTGCTCGGAGGGGCCCAAGAAAGCCTCGCTTTGTTCCCAGCTGGGGTGGGGACTGGGCGATCCAGGCAAGCGGCCCCTCCTCACCCAGCATCCCCTCCTGCACTTAGCTTCCCCTAGGAATAAGACAATGTTGTGAGGGGGAAACTTTAGTTCTCCATAAATAACTTTTAGTCTGAGAGGAATGGGGAGACTTTGGGGAGAGTCTTCACAGAGAGCTGACACTGGCTGACTTATGTCTTATCAGGAAAGCAAGAGTTTGGCATTTTCATCTCCCACAGGCTGAAGCAACCTCTCCACCCCACTATGGCTGATAAGGCTGGGGAAAGCTCAGACATTCAAGGGATTGCAGGGTGCAACACGCAAGTGTCCACAGAGCAAGTAGATCAGGTGGGGAACAGTGAATGAACTGATTATAAAATTACCAGACTGATGTCACCCTGTGGCTCTAATCTACACAACTAGAAGGAAAACCCAAGAGATAAATTACTCTCCTGAGGGAACCACCTGAAATGAAACACTTGCTTAGATCTTTGTTTAAATATTATTGTCAACAGCCTGATAAAATTTTTATAAAACAATGTTTGTGATGGACAGATAGATACAACACTTGAATCCGGACAACATCATTTGACACCCCATTTGATCCAGTTATAACTAGAGCTGAATAAATCTTTGAAACTCCCAGATATCCAAATAAATAAATTACCTTTCAGCCAGTTAGTTTGAGATGAGTTTCTGTCATTTGCACCCAAGAGAATCTAGAATAAACAAATATTTGAATAAAATTCGCACTTAACATTTGTTAATTCTGTTTGAACTACAGATATAAATGGACTTATGTGAGAGTACTTTTAATTCATAACAGAAAGAAATAGAAAATAAATGGAGAAATGATTATAGATTTTTATAATCCTTCATCTGCAAGAGCTTTGTTAAATTTCATTTTATTTATAATTTTTCTTAGCTTTTAATGTTTAATTTTTCTTAATATATGTACATGGGACAAAAGCATGTTTAACAAAAAAGGTCAAGGTCCTACTATATTTTGAAAAACTTTTACATTCCAGACAAGGCAGGTTCTACTTGTTATTGGAAAGGAAGAAACTTTGACATAGATTTAAGGCCAATGTAAAGAACAGATTTAAAAACAACTATTTATAAAATATGAGGGAAAAGGAGCAAAGAAGATTGCATTTGTGATTAATTATGGTAATAGTACAAAACTAGGGTCAATTAAACATTTGTCTAGCACTGATGCCCCTTTAGCCTCAATACACACACACATACACATAAAGCAGTTATTCAGCTTAACAGGTTCTAGGACACTAGATTAAACTTAAATAGTACCTAAAATGTATATGAGAATTTTATGATAGCTCCCACTAATCATCAAAAAATGAACAAAAAACTCATCTCTACTCCCTCTTATAACTCCACTGAAATAAGAGTAAACAGATTCAATTAAAAGTTCAACCATAAAGAAAAATAAAAGTGGCAGGGAGACAATAGCAATAAGAGTCTGGAAGCACAGAGTACTGGGTTTGAGCTCCCTGTGTGATACAGCAAATTTCCACTGGCTAGTCTGCAGTGGGAGGTGGGAGGGAGGCTCTAGAGGAGGGGACATACATATCCCTATGGCTGATTCATGTTGATGTATGGCGGAAACCAACAGAAGAGGCACTTCCCTGATGGTCCAGTGGCTAAGACTCTGCACTCCCAGTGAAGGTGGCCTGGGTTCGATCCCTGGCCAGGCCCCCTGTCCTGATCAGGTGGGTGGAAAGCTGGGGGAGTTAAGGCAAGTCTGAACACAGAGTGTTCAGTCTGTATCTGTCTTTATATATCTATATCTATATCTCTTTGCCACTGGCTGAAGACTGGAGGTTTACTCCCTGGAGATGCTCATTCAGCAAAGCTCTGGACTCCGGGGCCCCAGCCTCCCGCTGGAGGTGGTAAGGCTGTGCTGAGGGGAGCAAGTGAGAATCGATATACCAACAATGTGAGCCTCTTGTCCACTAGGATCCCTGAATACTGTGAGTTAATTTAGGGTACAGCTTTCAGGCTACCTTTACCTTCTTTCTGCTCATTATTACATGTTTTGAATTTTTTACAATGACATGTATTATTTATGTATGTAGACTAAATTCAGGAGGTAAATTACTTCCGAGAGACGTACCAGACCCAAAGAATGTGTTGCTTTGCTCCAACAAAGAATTGACATCTTGAAGAGCAGCTAAGTTGGAGTGATCCTCTGATGAAGCTGATAATCCACTGTTATTCACCAAGATCCAACTGCCTTTTGCAGACTTAACTGAACTATCCTTTAGAGAGCAATTGGGGTTAAGATTGCACAACTGATAAATATCTGACCATAATTCAAACCCATTTGCTGGGCCCCAAAGTCTAAGCGGAGGTCCCGCACATGCATGAGACCTCTGTATAGAGATGCCACTCACAAGTCTTGACTTGCAGCTCTAGCACTAGAAATTCGGAGAAAGCAACGGTAGCCCACTCCAGTACTCTTGCCTGGAAAATCCCATGGACGGAGGAGCCTGGTAGGCTGCAGTCCATGGGGTCGCGAAGAGTCAAACACGACCGAGCGACTTCACTTTCACTTTTCACTTTCATGCATTGGAGAAGGAAATGGCAACCCACTCCAGTGTTCTTGCCTGGAGAATCCCAGGGACGGGGGAGCCTGGTGGGCTGCCGTCTATGGAGTCACACAGAGTCGGACACGACTGAAGCGACTTAGCAGCAGCAGCAGCAGCACTAGAAATTAGTTAGTCTCAACTTTTTGGTAAGAGAATACATTAAAAAAAAAATTACCCTCTCCCAAACATTAAATGAATTGTAAGATGGATACCAAAGTAAGAACCATTCCTCCTGCGAAACCTGGATGATCTCTGATGATGTTTGAATCGTAACCGGCTTTCCAGGCGGTTTGGTAACAAATCAACATCCTTAACGGCCCAGACGGGCGCGAGCGGAAGGGTTGCTGAGAAGCCGAGTGTCCACCGCCCTCCGGCCTCACCCGCGCTTGGAGCCCCTGCTCCCCGGACTCGGACCGCAGAGCCCGGCAGAGCTCGGGAGACACTGAAGCGCCAGGAGAGACTGTGACCACGACAAATTCACTTACAAGTTGCCCACTGAGGGTGGGAAGAGCTTCGACTCTGTGGCCAAACTGCAGAAGGCGAGGAGCTCGGAGGAAGAGCGAAGGGTTTCACCCCGGAGACGGTGCGCCGAGGCGAGAGCCATTGAGGGGGGATGTGGACACGGAGAAGGCCCAGGGTGCTGACAGCGACTCGAGACTTTCGTTACAGCTTCTGGTTGTTCCTCTGCAGGAACAGCAGGTCGTCTAAAAGATCCTCACACAACAGGGCTGCAGGTCCCCTTCACAAGCAGTGGAGACAGTTCAGAGGCGAATCTGCCGAGGGCGAGCTCGGGCCTTCCCGCTGCAGAACCAGGCAAAGAAAATGATCAGGATAAAGAAGGGACATACATAATGATAAAAGGGTCGATTCCCCAAGAAGCTGTGTCAGTGTTTAACAGGGATGGACCTAACAACGGAGTCAAAATTTGTGAGGCAAAGATGGATAGAATTACAAGGAGAAATAAACCAATCCACTATGACTCCAACACCCCTCTATCAGAAATGGACAGATCCAGCACGCACAAAATCAGTAAAGATGTAGCTGACAGGAAGAGCAACAGCATCGATTGTATCTGTTGACATCTATAGATTACTTCATCCCAACAAATGCAGAGTATATATCTTTATCAAGCTCGCGTCCAACATTCACTAAGATAGACTACATTCTGGGGCAGAACACGGACTTTAACAAATTCAAAAGAACAGAAATAGAATACTCTGCACCACAGTGGAATTAAACTAGAAATCAAAACAGAAAGGTAGCTGGTAAACCTCCAAATAGCAAAAATTAAATAATATAGTTGATACATAAGTAAAAAAAAAAAGTCTCAAGAGAAATTTTAAAATTTATGAACTAAATGAGAATACAACTTATAAAAACTGGTAGGACCAGTAAAAGCGATATTAACAATATGGAAAATATACAGCATTGAAGGCATGTATTAGAAAAGAAGAAAGGTCTAAAAAAAACAGATCTAAAACCTAACCCTCCACCTTAGTAAACCAGAAGACTAAATCCAAACTAAATAGAAGAAAAGAATAAAAATGAGGACAAAGATCAATGAAACTGGATATAGGAAATCAATAGAGAAAATAGAGAAAACCAAAAATGGTTCTTTGAAAGATCATTAAAACTGATAAACCTCTAGCCAGGCTAACCAAGAAAGAGAAGACACAAATTGTCAATATCAGACATGAAAAAAGGGCCATCACTATTGATCCCACAGACATTAAAACAACAATAGAGGAATATTATTAACAACTCCATGCTCACAAATTCTGTAGATCTTTTTAAAGAACCAAATTTAGATATTGCTTATTTTCTCTATTCTTTATCCTTTCTCTAATCTTTTTTATTTTCTCCTATTAACTTGGGTTCAGTTTTCTCCTCTTTTTCTAGCTATTTAATGTAAACAATTGATTTGAAAGCTTTCTGAATCATTATTGTATGCTTTACAGCTATAAGTTTCCCGCCTAGCACTGCTTTAGCTGTATCTCATACTTTTTGATATGTTGAAATTTTATTTCCATTTTTCTCATGCTATTCTCATTTCCCTTGTGACTGCTTCCTTGACCCATTGATTATTTAAGTGTATGTTGTTTAATTTCCACATATTTGTGAGTTTTCTATTTTCCTTCTATTTCTAGTTTTATTCCATTGAAATAAAAAAGGTACTCTGTATGATACCACATAGAAGATAGAGTCTCAGCTAGGATAATGAGGAAGGGAAATAGGAGATGGGCTTGATAAATATTTAGGGTGTCAAATAGGCAAAATGTTTTGGTTGGTTGTATGTAAATGGTAAGAGAGGGAAAGCAGAGGACAACACCCTGGGTGACCAGGTGGGCAATATTCTTCCTAATTAGAAGTTCCCCTGCTAACTTTCCTCTGGTGTCCATTCCTTTGTCATCACAAGATGGGCTGAAATATGTAATTATCTGTGTGCTTATTTATTTAGTGGTAGTCTGTCCCTCTAGGCTGAAAATGCAGTGGAGTGGAACCATGTCTGGCTTTGTTCTTCCTTATACCCCTAGCACTAGCAAATTGAGAGACACGTAGTCAGCACTGAATAAAAACTGTCCAAAAAACATACAGAATGGGAAAGGGAATACACAGGAAGAAAGGATATTTTAAGAGGTTCCTTTTTGGACATGGTGAGTTTGACAGACTGTGCAAACATCCAGGTGGCAGTTGGAAATGAGTCTGAAAACTAGAAGATTTGCTTTGGAGATGAGAATTTGAGAGTTACCAGCATTTAATGAAAGCCTGAAAGTGAGAAGAGCATTAGGAGCAGGCCCTGATAAAGTTCAACATTTGAAAGGATTTACTTCCTTCTACTTCTTGCCTTCTGGAAATGCACCTTCACTGTCCCCTGGCAGTTTATGGAGCAGGCGTATGATGGTTCCAGGGAGAAGCCACCCACACCTTCACGACCTTTCCAGGGAGACATCATATGACATCATATAATATCTCGCCCCCATCTGTTCTCCCCAGTCCTTTAAACAACCCTTGATTTTCAGATAATTCTGTTCCATGAAATCTCCCTGCACCGGACTATGGAACAGCAATTATTCTCAATATCCTGGACATGAAATAGGAAATTGCTACTCTGCTTAATCAAAATGTAGAAATCTTACTCTTTCCCATTTCTTTTTCCAGTTAGATACCTTTGTTTGTTGTCTGTCCACCCTTAAGGCCAAATGAGGACTGTGTTGATACAAATACCTGTTTTCTATTACTACTTGGTTTACTATTTGTGTTTTGTTGACTGTGTGTTCAGTCACAGCAGGGTCTGTGTACTTTAACCTGGTGCTGATCTTGAAGGAATCACAGGCTATGTCAGGGCGACGGGACTTCCTGACTTTCTTAGGACCAGTCTGCTGAAAATATTCACTCTATAACCAAATGACATGTCACACTTCAGGCTTTGCTTCAGATAATGCTCATCAAGGAAGGATCCAGGTTCCTCCTGCCTGTCCTCTCTGACATTCTTAGTTATACTGGCTTTATCCTCACACTTGTCATCTCATGGACAGGGATGGTTATCCCACCACCAAGTTTTGCGTCCCCAGGAAGATGGGGCAGGAGGAGGGGGAACAAAGGAGAAAAGAAATTTCCTGTGCTAAGTCTTATCATTTCATCCCAGAATGGAAGTCCTCCCTCGTGGTTTCTACCTGCATCTCATTGACCACCTGCAGCTTAAAGGGGGCAGAGATCAAGATTGTAGCTTTTATAGCTTCTGTGATAAAGCTTGGAAGGAGATGGGTGAAATGAAAGTTGAGAATTGCCAATCAAGTCTTTCACATTTAGAAATGAGCATTCATTATTATGTCTGCATATTTCCTAAAATCCTGTGAACATATCTTAAGCTAATTTACTCATGCTGATGTTGATTTCTATTTGCATAATTCTTAGAGTAATCTTATTTCAAAAATTTCCGCTCTGTAAAATATGAAAAATATTATCCATCCTTTTTTATTTTCAGCTTTGATGTCAAAAGTGAGCTAGAAAAGGAATTTAAAATATTTCTAAATAGATGCTAGTTCTGGGTGAATAAGATACATTTTTCTCCATGTTATTTCTTAAGTTAGTTCCAAGAATTTTTGCCAGTGCTGGCAAGAATTTCTTTGGATGGCAAGCAACATTACCGAGGACAATTTTGCCTGTCTTTCCATATTTGTCCCTCCTTGGCACATTGCATAAAAATAGGAACTGATGCAGCTGTGAAGTCAGAGAATGCGTTTTATGTATGGACTTTTTTCACAGAGAAGTGCTTTGTCTCCCTCTGGTGGATAAGTGTACCTTTGCAACATCAGCGATAATTCTCAGGCACTTTTTTTAATTTAGGACGTCCAGTGGTGCAATAATCCCAATATGTGCTGGACGTGCGCACGCCACACACACACACTCACTCACACACTCATTCACTCAGACTGGTCCCTGGGCAAAACTGTCAAGTAATTTCAGCCTGATTTTGATACCCTATGTGTTTACCAAAAACTTTCTCACATATTTTGTCATTTAATTCTCTCAAGAACTTATTAAAATGAGTATTCCCTCTTCCCATGAGTACAAACACCTGCCTAAGAACACAGAGCCCTAGAGTAAATTAGGGGCATACAGACCCTGATTTTCCCTGCATCTTTTTGCTCATTAAATCTTACTTTGCCAGAATTGGCTTCCTTCTCAACTTGTAATCTTTTCCAAAAAACTTTCTCAAATTCCCATTGACAATAGATCGATTTTAGTTATTAAAATAAGATCAAATTCTGCCTCTCACAATGGTTGACCAGATGTTTCTGCACCCTCCCCGAAAACAACTAGAAAAGTACATGCTAATGAAAGACTGAAATGGCAAGCCAGGGAGTGATAAATAATATTTGCAATGAATATAACTGACAAAAGAACTCAGATCAACTCTTAAGACTCACTAAGCAAAAGACTGGGTGTACAAAAAAAAAAAAAAAAACAGGAGACTTCTTAAAAGGGAATGTTGAAATAGTAACTATACAAAGCATAGCTCATCTTCATTAAGTATACAAATAAATACAAATTAAAACTACAAAGTATTCACCTGCCACACCCATCAGAATGGTAAAAATTGAAAAGACTAATAATGCTAAGTGATGGGGAAAAATTACAACTCTCATACCCCTCCCCACCTGGCCACTGGTGAGGCAGGGTGGGGAGGGGTATGAGAGATGGCATCTCCTAAATTTGAAGATACATGGATATCTATGACACAGCAATTTCGCTCCCAGGTTGGCCCACAGAAAGGCATATAAGTGTGTACTCAAAGACATGTTTAAGAACATTTATGGCATTATTTATAAATAACCAAAAACTGGAAGCCTAAATGTCCTTTGATAGTAGAATGAATAAATGGTGATATAATCATACAACAGAATTCTGTATAACAATGAAAGTGGAAAAAACTATAGCTACATACATGATAAGTGGGTAACATGAAATTTTATACAAAGTCAGGCACAAGCAAAGTATATTTTTAAATTTTCATTTATATAAAGCTCAAAGCAGGCAAAATTAATTTATGGTCTTTCCATAGCTACCAATAAAATGGCTGTTTACAAACATAGTTGTCTAAAATTTTATCAGTTTAAAATTTTTTTCCAGTTTAAAGGATCCATCATAACCATTGAGGAGTAGGGTCTTAAATAAGACATGAAAGATGTCTCATAAGATTGTACAAAGGATGCAGCCCTCACAGGATCTAGAAAGTTTATTTGCAAAAATAATTAAAGTAAAGGCCCTTATTATACTGGTGGATGCAATGAAAGTTGACATGATAAAGGCCCTTAATGGATTGGGATCCCTTATGATAAACTCTGCTGAGAGCTAGTGGGGCCAGTCAGAGACTGTTCAGAATCCTAGTCTATTCAACTGGCTTCCAAATGTACACCATATGAGTACCTTCCAGACTACAGAGACCAAGAAGAGTTTTCTCACTGATAACAAACCACGCTCTCAAAACGTAGAACAAAATGCCTAAGAAGATCAGATAGAATATGTTTTAAAGGCTCAGGGAGATAATGCAAGTTCCTCCTGGAAAGGTGTCTGGGTTTCTCACGCCAGCAGACTAAAACCAACATGGGTGCTCAGAGCACTGGGTGGCCTGTTCTTATGTGTGCAGCCCAGAGGAGCGTGTCTTCACTTATTAAAGAGTGGGTTTCCCTGGTATGAGCGTTTTCCTCCTGTAAATTTCTCAGTTGCCTGAGAAAGCTCTAACCAGCTGGGAGGAGCATTTTGTCTCTATTTTTGGAGCTAAAAGCTCTCATGTTATCTTCACTTTTATTCCAGTAAACTCAAAGCACCCAATTCAAGGAAAGACACCAGGTTAACTTACCTAAGTACCCAGTCCAAACATTACCAGGTCTTTCAACTGGGCAGTCTTCTCAGTGCAATTCAACTGAGCAGCCTTACCAGTGTCTTCCAACTGGGAATTCAGGTACCTCTTCTTGAACGGGCTTCCCTTGTGGCTCAGCTGGTAAAGAATCCGCCTGCAATACAGGAGACCTGGGTTCTATCCCTGGGCTGGGAAGATCCCCTGGAGAAGGGAAAGGCTACCCATTCCAGTATTCTGGCTCGAATAATTCCATGGACTGTATAGTCTACGGGGTTGCAAAGAGTTGGACACGACTGAGAGACTTTCACTTTCTTGAACCATCTTAAGTTCAAGGAAAACCTACTCTTTATATAGCAAGGAGTTTACCAACCATTGAGTAAAACTCAAGAGTCATCAACCAAGACAGGAGAGACTTACCCAATCACTGAGGAGGTGGATGCATCTTCTCTAAAAAAGTTTCCATATGTCCTTTAAGCCCATCTCCTGACTTCTGTCTCCAGGTGATCACTGACCTTCCTTCTCACTGTAGTTTTGCCCTCCTGTTGGCTTTAGTTTGCATTTCCCTGATGACTCATGATGTTGAGTATCTCTTCATGTGCTTGTTGACCATATCTTTAAGTGAAGCATCTACTGAACTCTTTCCCAACATTTTTGTCTTGAGTTTCTCATATATTCTTACATAGAACTCCTTTGTCTCATTTTTGTATTTCCTCCCAGTCAGCAGCTTGCCATTTTCTTTTTTTTTTCCATTTTCTTAATGGTGTCTTTTGAAGACAGTTTCAAACTTGAGAAACTTCAATATGTCCACTTTTTTTCCCTTGGATGGTTAGTGATTTTTGCATCCAAAGAAATGTTTGCCTACCAAATTTTGAAAAGATTTTCTGTGTTTCCCTGTAGAACTTTTACAGTTTTTAATCTTTAAATCTGTAGTCCTTTTTGAGTAAATTCTGTACATACTGTGAGATAAGGGTTAAGGTTCACTTTTTTTCCCCCAATAAGGATATCCAGTTGTTTTTGATCCATTTGTTGAAAAGCCTACTCTTCCTCATCAAATACCATGATGCTTTTGTCAAAAATTCAATTGAAATCAACATAGGGCTCTTTCTCTGGACTCTCTTCTCTTCCTTTGATCTATATGTCAATCTTGGGCCAGGATTCACTAGCTGGATTATAGTTGCATATAAACGTTGCTATTAGGAAGGATAAATTTGTTCTTTAGATGTACTTTAGCTATTCAGTGTTGTTATGTCCATGCAAAATTTAAAATCAGCCTGTACATGTCTGCCTGTTAGAATTCTGACAAGCACTTCTCTAAGAATCTATAGCTCAATGGAGAATGTGTATCTTATAAACACTGGCCTACAGTCCATGAATATGATGCATTTGTACTTTTATTAGGGTCTTTCCTTTAGCAATGTTTTGAGGTTTTCAGCGTACAGGTTCTTCACATTTAAAAAAATTTTGCTCCTAAATACTTTTTTGGCGCTCTTATAAATTATATTTTAATTTTGTAGATGACACAAATTGACTTGTTGACATAAAATTGATGTGCTGATTTACTACAACCTTGTTAATTCAGTTATTAGTAGTAGCACTTTGTAGTCCTCAATTATTTTTGTGTGTGCTCATGCCATCCGTGAATGGTTTTGCTTCATTCTTCCCAATCTCTATTGTACTGACCAGGACCTCATTTGCAAGTTGGAAAAAAGTAGTGAGAACATACATCCTCATCTTGGTGCATCTCTTAGGGTCAAAGTACTCATCAATATATTATCCTTACATATTATGTCACCAGTAGGCATCCTTAAATTCCCTTTACTAGCTTGAGGAAGTTCCCTTCTATTCCTGTTTAATGAGAGCTGTTAGTATGAATTTTGTAAAATACTTTTACTCTACCTATTGAAATGATTATGTGGTTTTTACTCCTTAATTTTGTCACTATGGTAAATAATACTACTCAAAATTGATTTTCAAATATTGAACCAACCTTGCATTCCTGGGAGAACCCTATTACCATGTAATGTTGATACAGTACTCGAAAATCAACTGTATATTCTTTTATACATCACTGGATACAAATTGCTAACATTTTGTTTAAGCCTTTCAGGACTCTTAAAAGGGTAATAGGTTTGGAGCTTTCTATACTTGAAATATCTTTTTTGGATTTTTTTTTTTTTTTGAGGTTGGTAGAAGGGTAATGCTGACCTCATAAAAGTGTTCCCTCTTGTTTTCTAAAATGTAAAATTGCTAAAATTTCACCCTTAAATGTCTGATAGAATTTACCATTGAAGCCATCTGGGTTTGGAATTTTGTGGAAAAGGGATTAATTCACTTTAAGACAGATTAAGGGAATATTCACATTTTCTATTTCTTTTCATGTCTGTTTTGGTCATTTGTCTCTTTCAAGATATGTACTTCTTTCATTTAAGTTGTCATATTTACTTGTATGTAACATCTAAAAAAGAGAACACACCCAGACCTACCTCTGGGTGAGGCCCAGTTCCTGACTACACAACAACCATGTTACTAGCAGAAACTTGATCAGGTATTTAGGGGTGAGGAGCCATGACATCTGCAACCTGATGAAAGAGAGGGAGGGAGGGAGGGAGCAATGCGTGCAGAAAATGTGATTAAACTGGTGAATACAGTGGGGAGGGCACTGTACTATTTTTCCAACTTTTCTCTAGATTTAAAATTTTTCCAAAAAGAAGTTAAATGATATATTCATATTCCACAACCAGTGATTTAAAGAAATAACCAGAAAACCACATACAAACTCTGCACAAGGAGTTTTATCATGGATCAAAGTTTGAAAACACCCTAAACATCCCACAAAGAGGATCAGATAAACAAACTACAGTATAAGACATGAAAAACCCAACAACAACAACAAATATCACAATTTTCCCAAGATTATCCAATACAGACAGACAATGGAAGGAAAAAGTCATAACACTGAATACAGGACCCCAGTCTACATGCACGAGGAAAAGACTGCAAACTAACAATGCAAAAAAAAAAAACAACACCAAAAACCCATGACTGTCTTGGAGTGGTGGGGTCACAGGAGAACTTGACTCTTCTTCATAATCCTTGTTCAGAATTTCTTGAAGGATTCCAGGTCTTCTCATCACTCCAGGGGCAAAAGGAAGGAGAACCTAAATTAAGGGCAGGTCAGGAGGTGTGGGTCTGGATTAACTCCAAGAGGGAGGGAGATCCTGCATGCTGTGGTGGTTAACTGGTCAGAGGGGAGCCCAATAGAGGGGAAATGACACAGGCTGGACAGGACAGCCACACAGACTCTGAGACCTGGTTTTATTCCCTTTGAAACAGGCAAAGGTTGGGAGACCAATGTGGTTATCTTCAAAAAAAATTAAGCTTCATACAAGTATAAAGGTAACCACCTTTTTACTTTGTTCCACAGGTACCTTAATAGACTTGGTACCTATTATTACAGGAAATCCCCATAGAACAATGAGAGCTAGTGATTAAAGATCAAAGTTTTAACAAATTCTGGGAGATAGTAAAGGACAGGGAAGCCTGGTGTGCTGCAGTTCATGGGGTTTCAGAGTCAGAAGCGACTCAGCAACTGAACAACCACCACCTACTATTACAAGAAATCCGCATGGAACAATGAGAACTAGCGTTTAAAGATCTGAGTGGAGGTTTGAATCTGTGCTTCCCACATGGTCCTGGGCAAACTGTTCAAACTTTCTGAGCCTATTTTCACCTCTGAAAACCTCGGATGATGATGATGATGATGATTTTAATCATCATCCTCCCATTTCAAAAAGATTACTGTGGAAGATCTACTGTGGGAGATGTCTGTGAGGGTGGTCTATAGTCTATGAAGTACTTTACAATGTCAGTTAATGTTAACTTAGGGTATGAACTATTCAAAATGCTGTTACTATCTTTGAAGAGAGAAAAGTAGCAATTCATACTGCCAATAAGCTTTGCCACAAGACACCATGGAGTGTTCCATGTTTAGGCTGACAAGGTCAATGAATGAACATCAGACAGGCAGCACAGAATACTAGGGATCCAGGAGCCTACGGGGTTAAGAGGGCAGAAACACCCTTACAAGGGAAGATGAGTATGTGAGAATCCTTTGTTTCCACTATAAACATTCTGCAAACATGGGAAGGAGACCGGGTGATTCCCCACACACACTGCATCGTGACAGAGGGGAAACTGCACCATGTCACAAAGTCTGGGGTGGCTCGTGGCCTTCAGATGGTGCAGCCGTGTCTTCCCGGGCACAAAGCTGACTGTGTGCCCTGCTCTACTGTCCTAGGTTGGAAGCTGACTAACAAGCAGATTTCCTCTTGAAAAGCCCTGTTGAGCCAGCTGGTAACCACCTGAGTAGAAAGATTATTTTGACCAGGGAGTGAGAAGCCAGGGATCAGACAAGGTATTTGCTGGAGATGTGGCAGGAAGATGCAGAAACCTAGCTGTAGAGAAGAGAAATATTTTTTTCTACCTTTAAAATTTTTCTCCCTGTAATGCTCAGGACAAATCTTTCTGGATCTGGGGTCAATGACAACACTCACAGCAAGGAGTTCAGCCTCTAACATCAAGACTTCTATTTTACCAGTGATCTGCTCTTAAGATTGTGAAACTGACTCAAGGGGTAACAGTAAGTCACTGTTACCTAGATTCACTTAAAAAAAAAAAAAAAAACCCACTGTTTTTGCATTAGGAACAACGAAAAAGCAAGAAACATTGTCAAATCGGGATGTTGAGAGGCAGGTTGAGGATCGGCCACTGAAAACTGTAAAAATAATACAAATGCAAACTGCAGAGGTGAAAATCAGGCAATTTATTGTAAACAGGATTACCCTAGCACTCCACCACCTACTGACTGTGTCACATGCTCTCTCTTCCACATCAACTCGTGAAAAAGACTTTTTAAAAAGTCAAGGGTAACTGACACCTGAATGTGTTTCACAAATCTCCTTTATGCTGAGGAAAGAGCAGTGTCCAGGTAGTCTGTTATTGCTCGTGGACTACAGTCTGGACCTATTGAGCTGAATGTGTAAGTCAGCCTGAGTGAGCCACCAGTAGCTGGAGAACCTACGTGTACAGCAGACAACACTGGAGCACGCTCACCAGCGACCTCACTTTCCTGGAGACTACCTGGGATGCCTCTCAGAGCTCTTCACGTGACCTTCTCATAAAAATGACACTCAAATTTCACCCCCACCTTTTTTTGTAAAGAGCTAAGTTACCCGATAGCACATAATTTTCCACAGAAAAGGCTTAGGTGGGTTATTTACTCTTCTAGTGGTAGATTCATACACTCAGGACTCATTTCCGACCCCTCTCATATCTATCTGCAGTTTGATGAAAAGCTGCATAGTCTACAAATGCATAAAACCAGAAGGGGGTGATGGGGACTCACACACCTTCTGATGGACAGAGACAAGCTTCGTACAAGGAAGCTCTTGAAGGCAGGGATAAAAAGACAGTTACAGCACCACATTTATCTGACAGTAGAAATGGAGCCCCGCTTTCAAAAGCAGCCTCCACGGTTGTGATTATCATTCTTGCCCCAAATTCAGATATTTGGAAAAATGGCAAATGTGAAACTTAAGATGTGAAAGAGACGTGACTCTACAGAAAGAAGTCCTGGTAAATCGACTCACGTGGAAGTAAAATGTCACTGGAAAATACCATTCTTTACTTCGCCTGAGTTAGTCAACAACAGGACCACTTATTGTTACTAGTGCCTGGGTGTTTCCAATTTCTCTTTAAGTTTTAATAATAGTAAATATTTCAAAATGGCTGTTAAATATACAGTAACAATTTCATCTATAATTGTATCTCATGAAGAAAAAATATTTTTTAAAAGCTCACTCCAGTCATCATCTGTGTGTTTGTATGTTTGTGTTTATATATTCAAAAAACAACTCTTAAGGCAATATTAGACTGGGAGCAAAACAGGGATTTAGTGTCTCTATGGAGATCACACTATTTAAGAATCCAAGGCTTTCCTTTTTGTACCCCCCAAAAGGTGTCATTGTACATGTTGCCTTTTATATTCACAACAGGGCAAATATTTTGGTTGGTATACTGACTACGATTTCTCCACAGTAAAAAGTTCCAGATATTTAGAATAGCTGATGTTGGAAAAGCATGTCACACACTCAGTGGGATCTGAAGTTGACCCTATTTGTTAAATAAATACAGCAATGTGTTGATGGGAAAAAAGTGACACTGATGGAACACCGCAAACCAAGTATGAACAACAAGAATGTCAATATAATTCAATCAGAAAGAAACAAATCACAGTAATCCTGAGAAGTTCAGTTTGGGACAAAATTGATGTCAGGTAAGTCTGTATTTCTAGCACTGTAAATAAGTAGGGTGTTCTAGAGTTTTCCAGCATTTTACTAGTTTGAATAAAAAACATGTTCAAATTTTATAAAAAGATTAAAACCATGCCTTAATCAGCAATTTCACTAATAAAAGAAAATTACATTGCTTTGTTCATTACCTGCCAAATGTAATGTTCTCCATTATTTACATGAAACTATTAAGTAAAAAGCAAAATTGAGAATTTTAAAAATGTATTACCTTTCTATATGTTTTGAAGTCTTTTCTGTCAACCTAGAGGCTTTTAGAAAAAAGCTAACATATTTTTCTTCTGACAAATGACTATTTTACAGAATAAGGAAGGAAGATTCTATAGGAATATCATTCATCATTTTAAGCATTGTTATATAAGGGACATTTCTCTTAGTAATGAAAACTTTTAAAATATTTAAGAGTCATGTATTTTAAAAATATTCTACATCTATAAGATTTTGTAATTTAATTACTCTGGATTTTTAATATTTCTACATAATGACATTTGACAAGTTTTTTTTTTCTTTTTTTCCTCTGTCTCTCTAATAGTGAACAAGAAACTATTAAAGTGGCCAAGATGGTTTTCCTAGCCCTTGGAAGACTCAGGAATGCATCCACTTGCACTTTCCCGCCCACGGGGAATCTTCAGAGTTTTGCAGCCATGAAGTTAATATGCGGTTTCACAAGGGGGAACAGTGGCAAACCACGCTTGAACTCAGTCATGTTCTGAATCACTTCAGGCTGCAAAAAAAAATTTTTCTCTTAGTGTATTTACGCAGACTGAACAGGATATAAACTTTATTTTTGCATATACACACTAGTTTCTGCACCATGTATTACATATTATACCTGCTGACTCTCTTCCTGGATCAGTAGGGCCAGAGGGTCTATGCAGACCTATGGTGAGAGTTCCCAGTGGGTCTCTGGGTTAGAGGGAAGACTTCTGGCTTCCCCTAGGTGCTCAAGGTTGGGCACACCAAGGGCTCAGGACTGTGGCTTGGGTGGAGTGGCAGAGGCCAGTGTGCCCACCTGGCAAGGGCCTGCTTATATTGCCAGCTTCCTCTTCTTCCAAGTAAATGCCAACTGTTCAAAATGATTAAAATTCACAAGCGCCAAGGAAAATGCGGGGACAAATGTGGCTGGAGATGACTCACTGCAGAGTAACACAACTGTTCAAGCTAGTAGATGAGGCCGACAAGGGCAAAGCCACTGGTTTTCCCAGCTGAAAAGTGAAGGAAGGCAACGTGGCCTTTAAGGGGGACCTGAAGTACATGCCCCGATACCTGGTGGCCTGAAACCTCTGGGTCTTATGTGTCCTGGTGAACAAGCTCCTTTTAAGTAGGAAGTCCTCTAACAGTGCAAGCTAACACGACATTTATGTTTCTTACTTGTGGCAAGGCTGGTGCTTGTGACAAATTTATATCATTTTGACATGGGAACTCTCCAACCACAGGACCTATTTTTTAAAAAAAAAGAAAGGTTTAATGCTTTGTACTCACTGCTATTTGTACACAAGAGCAAACAAACCAAACCAAACCAGACTCAGCTCACTAAAAAACTGCCCCAGGCCCAGTTCATGTCCTCTCAGATCCTTCCAGGCTGTGTGCTCCCAAGGCCTGTCAGCTTGTCCTGCCTCCCGTCCAGAAGGTCCCCAGTGATGGTTCAGGACCTCACGGCGCTGGAACAGCCTTGGCTGTAGCTGCTGTACTGCCCAGCTTTGACCTCACTGGTCCCTGAGGCTCTGGCCACCCGAAAGGACCCAGTAAAACCACCAAGAAAGTCGGGGGGGGTCATCGGCCAAGCCAGTCAGAGACAGGAGATGGGAAGAACTGAGCAGATAGACTGCTCGCCTCCCTCCCCACATGCAGCGGCTCCACATCGCTCCTTCGGAGATGTCCTGCCGGCACTGGCTGTGTTCTCTGACAGACCTGTGGCCAGCTCGGCACTGTGCCATCTGGTGTCTCGCCTCCCTTTGCCCCTCACTTTTGCCTTGATAGAGCAGACCCTGTCTCCAGGTAGCTCCCCTTCCGCGCCCCTTCACTTCCTGGTGCTCTCTAAGGGATGTGGCTACGGCATGGGATAGCTATCATGTGCTGAAAAACACCCTTTTAAAAAGTCACTTCTCAGTACTTACAAGAATCCATTTCTCTGGCAAGAACATGGACGGATACCTTATGTCTCCTCGGGGCATCTACTGCCAACATTTCCTGGATGGGAAGAAGAGCAAGGTCATGCTTTTGCCCCACTAGGGAACGTAAAATGAGGTGCTGTCTTATGACCATAAAGAGTCATCCTGCACACAGTCAGAAACAGAAAAGATGCCTCCCTTTCTCTCCCCTCACTTACAGTATTTCATTTAAACTCTACAAACATTAGGAGGGTAGGCATCGTACAGATGAGAAAACTGGAGTGTTCATGCTCCTATGACTAATAAGTACCTGGACTGGGATTAAAAACCCAGCCTAGTACTCATCAGGGTGTGACCAGGGCTGCACCCAGTGATCTGAGGTGTGTGCAGAGACAATGGCCTGAGCTTAGTTAGGGGATGACCACAATGCCCGCTCCCCAGGAACCTCCCCAGGTTCTGCACCAGAGCACTGCTGCGGCTCCTCCCCTACCAGAAGAGGAGAGAACTAACATCTCTTGACTGTCGCCTTGTATCAGCCTCTTTCCTGTGTTAGACCACTTGATTCTCTTAAGCTAAGCATCACCATGACTCCTATTCTCAGACTCTACGACACAGAGAGGCATAACAACTTGCTGAGCCACACAACTCACAAGGGGATGGGGCCAAGAGTGAGGTATGCTCGTTCTCTCAATTCCACCACATTGCCTGGAGGGACTCCCTCTAGTCATTACCAAGAATGCCAGGAGTGGTACGCTGGCAGAAGGATCCTGTGGGGAAATGTCTCCTCACTCTTCCCTTAATGATAGGTCCATATTTATGTCTTTTCCAAAAGGAAGACTCAAGCTGTGATGAAGCTTCCCCTGATGCCTCAGCCAGAAGTAATATTTTGTATCCTCAGAGGAAGAGACTAGCAGCAAAGTCAGACTGACTCACAGTTATTTACAGAACAGTTACTGTAAGCCTGGTCCTGGGCAGCTGCAATGGAAGCCGTGCTGAAGCTGCAAAGCAAAGTTGGCAGAACAGCCTCTTTTAGGAGCTCAGCCCGGGTTTGTCTCATCTGAGAGCATCTTACTTACTGAAGTAAAGTTTGCTTCCAAAGATGTATCCTTTCTTTTTTTTTTATTTAAATCTATTTAATTGGAGGATAATTGCTTTAAAATATCGTGTTGGTTTCTGCCATACATCAACGTGAATCAGCCATAGGTATCTACATATGCTCCCTCCCTCCTGAGCCTCCTCCCCACTCCTACCCCATCCCACCCCAAAGATGTAGTCTTGATCTCTTCTCACCTAAACCCTCATTGCCCTCTTAACCTATATCGGTTACAGAACATCCTCTTTGGTTTCAGACTGTTCAATTTCCTGACCCACTTTGGACAATCCTCATTTTTCTAAAAACCAACCAATTGCATTTTCTTGCAAACTCTATTCTAAGGAACACTAGTGTCCCAAGAGACATTTATAGGTATTCTGTACCAAAAAAAAAAAAAAAAGTGTCCATAGTGAAATCAGTTTAGGAAATATTTTGTTAATCAAAACTAAACAAATATTGGGCTAAATAAATCTTTACTACGGGGGTTCCTATAACTTTTTTTTTTTTGCTGCATTGCATAGTATGCAGGATCTTAAGTTCCCCAACTAGGGACTGAACCCATACCCCCTGCAGTAGAAGCACAGAATCTTAGCCACTGGACCATCAGGGAAGTCCCTCTTAGAATTTTTTAAAAAGCTAACATGCTCTGTGATTCCCCAAGAATGAGAATAAAGAAGAGTCATTCTCAAACTTACATGGTCACAAAACTCTTTTTTCTAGGTACCCCATTAGTATCTTACAGAACACAAGTGTATTAGGGAAACCTTGTTCGAGATTTAGTGTAAGCTTGGTAATAAATAATCTCCCTTTTTAAGACAAGAAAGTCACCTTATAACTGTTATTTTCACAAATTCAATAATCAGGTACCACTTGTAATTTCAAATAATAGAATTTGTTTCAATATAGAATAGAATATAGAATTTAGAAATAGAATATAGAATTTAGAAATAGAATATAGAATTTGTTTCAAATAATAGAATATTATTTCAAATAATTTCAAATAGAACTTCAAATAATAGAAGGAAAGATAAATCTTCATTTCTTCTGGAAACATCACAGTATGTTATAGTAGGTCATCATTCTTTTTGAACACACGTAACTAATAAACGTCTTTTTTTTTTCTTTTTAATAAACGTCTTAAAATAAAAGTCTTAGGAACCAAAAAGTGCTGAACATGAGCACCCTCTTTTATAGGCAAAATGAGAACAAGTAACCAACCTCACAAAATGTAACAGTCTTAAGTAGTAAATCAATCACAATTAGTACTTTATAACACCAAGGAGGAAAACATACTCTCATTTGAAGCATTCTGATTAAACTATTTAAAAACCCTAAGGTTGAGTATTACTAATAAAGTGATAACAACAATAGAGACTATTTAATAAATGCTGCTAAGTGCCAATCACTTTACATACCTAATTTCAATGAATACTCCAATTAACCTCTATTTCATAAATAAGGAGGCTTACAGAATTTGGCCAGGGTCACAAAGCTAGCTAGCTGGTGATGGAGCTGAGCCCTGAGTCTGTGCTCAGGGGCCATATGCTCCCGCTCCTGCCCCACAGACCACGGAGTGAGGCCAGCAGTTCTGAGCAGGGCTTGGGACAGCTTTCTGCCTGGCAGCCGACACGTGTCCTCGAGCCCTGCTCCCACACCAACTCTGTCCCTCATAGTCCCACCGCACCTCTCTCTCCACAGACACAAAGACTATCTGCGCTTATACTGAGCTGCACGAAAAGCATAAGATGTTACGGGAAAACCCATACAAATGTTTTGGCCAACCCACCATATCAGAATAGATTCTTATTTTATATAGTTTTTATTTTTTAAACATGTGTGTTTTTATTACATACATACATACACACACATATAAAGATATTTTGATAGATTTTATTTTTTAAAGCAGTTTGGGTTCACAGCAAAACTGAGTGAAAGGTACACAGGTTGTCCAGATATGCACTATCTGTTCACAGGCCTAGCCTCCCTCTTGTCAAAATATATGTTTTTTAAAAGACTATCACTGCAGAAGAACAAGAGTCATTTAGGATGGTAACTTGACCAGTCAGCCATTTCCACAGTCAAATATGGCCCAGATCCCATTGCTTGAGAAAGGTACCTTCAAAATACTGTCATTTACTGTCAAATTTTGAACCTAAAATTGCTACTTTCTTTCTTCTTGCTAAGGTGTTACTGGCTGTATGAATATCTGTTTGCACATACAGAAACCAGGAGACTTTTCATTTTGCACAGGCTCTGGGGGGAGAATAGGTATAAAAACTGGTAGATGGTGCAAAGTCACCATTTCCTCTATGAAACTATCAGCACTTCCAACTCAGGAGTCACTTGCTTTTCCTTAATCTCTCACACAGCACCAACAGCAGGGGACTAGAAATGATTAGCCTTCACTGCATAACTAATTTCACAAAGTCACTCTAACGAGAACTGCAAATACGACTCTTGTTTTGACAGCTAAGATGTACCCCTTAAAAATGACCTTGAAAAGCAGATACTATCCCTTCCAAAGAAATCAGCACAAGGCAGGACTGAACTCGATGAAAAATGTGGTGTCTAATAAATCAGGTATGAACCAGGAGATGTGGCTAAGGACACTAGGTAGGGTATAATTCTAAGGCGCTATGGTAATTACAGAGTGGAATTTTGTTCCTTGCCCTAAAAAATAGACATAAAACTATTTTACACAAATTAGATGCCCCAGTACATTACAAAGAATATATGTAACCCTTTAGGTACAGCTCTATTGCTACATAAATTTTTAATCTCTGCACTTAGCATGGTTATTACACACATTCTATGCCCATTTAAAATTTATGCTACCCTTCTATAAATTCTGTTACGGTGGGGAAAATTTAGACAGTATAAACCTCTTAAGAGGAGAACTGGGATAACTTTAATGGCAGTACCTCTCTTTTCTCCTGATAAACTTTATTAGGGACTTAAAACTTACAATATCTCTAGTGTGGAACTAGCAGATATAAATTACTATATATATAATAGATAAACAATTAAGATCCTACTGTATAGCAGAGGGAACTATAGTCAGTTAACCTGTAATGGAAAAGAATATGAAAACGAATAACTGAATCACTTTACTGTATACCTGAAACTAACAGAAGGAAAGAAGAGGAGAGAGGCAATTGCTAAAGGCTTTGGAGTTTCTTTTTGGGGTGAGAAAATGTTTCAAAACTGTTAGGTGATTTTGGTTATACTTTGTGACCAGTGAGTGACTATGAATATACTAAAAACCATTGAATTACACATTTTAAATAAATGATTGTGTGGTATGTGAATTACATTTCAAAAATAAATAAATAAATAAAAAGGAGTTAAGTGCTTTGGGGAAAAAAGGCGAGTGGTCATTTATTTTTAAAAGGAGCCAAGGGTGCATACTAAGTTGCTTCAATTGTCTTTGACTCTTTGCGACCTCATGGAATGTAGCCCACCAGGCTCCTCAGTGACACCTAAATCAGTGGAGAAGATTTATAGTTGGCAGAGACTGGAAAATAATCTGATTCTCAAGTTCTATTTGTTTTCTTTACTCTTTCTTTCCATGATGAGCTCACCAATGCTCTCTGTGGGTTGGCGTGGGGAACAGAGAGAAAAAACAAGAGGGTAACCTAAGTAGGTGGGTCTGGAAGCTGGGAAGGGCCACCATAGTCCTTGGTCCAGAGAGGAAAACAATACTGAGTTCAATAGGGACTGTCTCTTTTTCCTAACAGTAATAAGTCTTGAAAATACTTAAATCCATAAAAATGCCTTCATAAATCCTGCCTGAATGGGTTCAAAGTGGCCACACACAACATAAAGCATGTAACATTTTCTTATTGGTCAAAGTCTAAATATGTAAAGTGACTTTACCTTATAGAATTTGATAATATCTTCCTTGGTAAGTGTCTTCAAATAGGCAACTTCTATATTATCTGAAAAAGAAATCAAACAAGAATTTATTAAAATTTCCATTTTAAGCAGCCCAGAATACTATACTAAATGACAATATTCTTCACTCCAACACTCTTAAATATCCATCTTTTTTAGTGATCAATTGCTCCTGCAAGTAGTAAGGGAAAAAATTTCAAGTAAAAAGTAAGAGGATACCCTGGCTCTCTATGGGTGAGCTGTTGGTTCCTGGTCTAGTCACTTCAGGTTTTTTGAGCCTCTTCATCTGGAAATTGGGTATAAAAACCACCTAACTGACAATCACATAATACCAGGGTACAGAGCAAATGCTCAGTAATTGGTAGTTACTATTATCATTAACAGTGAATCCAACTGCTAGAAAAATTACAGGTAAGGAAACAGAGGCCCCAGAAAGGCAACCTGGCTGAGATCTTTGGCTTGTCTGTGTCAGAATGAGAACACAACCCAACCCTTCTGACTTCAAGTGTAGCTGAAGTTAATCTCTGCTCTAAGGTAAAGGACCCTGAGAAGCAGGAGACTTTGGGGAATATAGCAATTCTAAATCTAAAAGCACTGACAAATCTGGGGAGATCCTTAAAGGCAGATGCTTGAACCCTGGTGCCTCTAGGACAGCACTTGTCTCAAGAGAGTTCAATCTGCACATTTTCTGTTTAGAGCTATGAGAAACAGATGCCTACATATCTGTGTTCAGAGTCTCAGAGACATACTGAATAAAGTGAAATCAGATTTACCATTAGTGCATTGTGATGAGATACAGATAGATTCAGCCCTAGTTTGAGAGAGAGAGAAAAAGTTTCTAATAGGAAATTGTTGTTACATTAAATATAAGTCCTTTAGAAGTGCTACCACCTCGTCCCAAACTGTCCTGAAACATCACCTATGAAATGAATACCATTTCACAGAATGGCATCAACGCCCTCAAATGTTTCACTTCCATGCCGTGAATATGGGGGCCCTGATCATGCCTTACCTCTGTCAAAATTGTACTGCTGGGAGATGATCTCCCCCCAATATTTAGCACACTCTGCAGACAGCTTCTTTGGTTTGTCTAGTCGACGGATTGCTAATGCTTGGATGTGTTTTTGGAAGGCCTCTTCTGTCATGTCCTCTATGGACTTTTCCATGGTAATTAAGAAAGCTTCCACTCTGCTTTCTAGGTAATGAGGTGGCTTTTCTGACTGGATGATAAACCGTAAGCCCTGTATGCCGTTGGCTCGGCGTGGCCCGCTGAAGACGATATAGCCTGAAACACAAACACCAGCCAGTCAGGACCATGGCATCTCAGACATGGGTGACTTTCAATCTTTCAAAAATTATCCTGTCAGAGCAAATACAATCTACTTTAGGACTTTATATTATTCACCTCTGAAGAAATCAGCAATGAAAATATCTTCAGTTCCTATGGACAGGGCAGAAGAGCTCTCTGAAGAACAGTTGGAAAGCTGGAGGTCACAAACCCCTATTCATTATTCAACATTCCCAAGCACCTCACTGTCTGTCAGTTAATCCCCTTCAATCCATGTTAAATTATTCTCATCCCTACGAAATGCTGGACTCATTTCATCCCCTAACCATTGTCCTAGCTTGGTTTCCTTTCACATCCAAGCTCCTTATGTGAACTTGCCTTCACTATTGCATTTCTTGTTAGATAATCTACCCCTGGATCGACTTCATTCAGGCTTCAAATCTTTAGAGACCAAGTAACTGAAGGTCATGCTCCCATTGTGAGCTCCTCTGCTACCTCCCATCTGTATCTTTCCTAAACGCACTTGTGGCTTGCCTCCTCTGCTCTGCACCACACCTCACTACCTTCAGCATCGCCTTTAGAGTTTGAACACTCAGTAGCATTTGCCACACTGTACTACAATTATTCCTTACAGGTCTGCCTTCCTGATGAGATTGTAAGTTCCATGAAGGGAAAGACCATCTAAAACTTACCCATTTTTGCAGTCCAGCATCTATCATGGTGGTTTAAAAAAAGATGAAAAAAGTTTTAAAAAAGACTGCTACTTTAAGAGACTCATCCAAATCCTTTTTCATTGGTTATTCATTGAGCCCGTTTTTTTTTTTTTTGATTCACTGGTTATTCAAAGCACATTACTGGGACTTGCTTTTTTTGATCAAATTGATCAAATTTTCCAGGATATCCAAGGCTTTTAACAATGCCTAAAACTGCCCAAAACATTTCCTCAAAAGACACTTGCTGTGACTTCTTCTGTGTGCCCCAGGCTTGGGATACAAAGATGAATAAAAAATACCTGACCTCTTAAGGAACCTAAAATTCAGTAAATCTAAGCATCTCTGGATGGCTTGTTTCCCACCTTGTCACCCGCAACAGCCTGCCCTTAGCATCCGTTTCCCCCACCCCAAATGACCTCTATGTAGATATATATGTGATGGAAACACACGCCATCTCCTTAAGAACTGCTCTACTGTCCATGAGACAGTAGCTGCTTATCTTCTAGAAGTGGAGTACCCACAAGCATCACGACGGGGGCTGTACATGCGGGGGACATTCTCGAGGACAACAGCTGTTCCTCAAGGAGTGAGGTGTCCTGCTATGCCCTTCTGCCCACTCACCCAGTTGCTCCTTGGTGCGCAGGGTGTTGAAGCAAGGCTCGGAGATGATCTGACAGAAGAGCTCCAGAAACATGTTCTCTGAGGTGCTCTGCATGTCGGTTTGGTAGTATATCTCAATGCCGCAGTTATTGTGGACTTCATTCCTCTGCTGATACACAAACCATCCTCCTAGGAAGTTTCAATAAGAGAGCGACACGTTCAAAAACTTCTTTAAACAAACTTACTGTTTTGTTTGTCTGTATGAAGTTGTTCAGTTTGGTTGGTGTCTTTTGGCAGTTCCAAACTGCAATTAATTCATTAAGAATGTGAAACTCAACTTACCCAAGGGAATCCTAATACAGTGATCTGTACTTGGGAGGCCCTCATAAACACTCAATGACTTTAAAGGGCAGAACACTTGTAAAAGATCCACTTTATGACTAAGTAAATTTTAATGCTAATTGAGATCATAGTTAATGAAATCTACAATACAGTGTACACACTAAATTAGAACTAGCTAATATCTATAAGAAACTCAACAGAAATATAACCTATGCTTTAATAACCATGCATAACAATTTTTTAAACCACTAGTTGTACCATTATCTATTTAGGATTCAATTCAATATTGTTTACCAACACCCACACTGAAGGTCAATTCACAAATTTATACATATGTGTACAATGCAGAGAGATGCCCCAGTCTGACATCTCACTTTAGAGATGAAGAAACTGAGACCCTGAGAAATGAGCAACTTATCCAAGGACATATAGTTGCATGATGGAAAGCTGAGATATGCTGATCAAGTACTTCATCAAACTTATAAACAGATGGCCATGATTTATGATAACTATTTCATGAGCAGTAAACGTGACTGAGCAAATACAATGTTTAGTAACTGCCTGATTACCACATTCAATGGTTTTTTTTTTTTTTTTTTTGACTTTTAGGTGCATTCAATGGTTTTTGAATGGCAATTCCTGATTCTTCCTCTCTGCCATGTTGTAGTGACTGAGGAAGAAGCTTAAGTTCAAAATGAGCCATCACCTGGTCTGTGATGACTGGCTATGCAGAATAGTGGCACTGTGCTCAGCTGTCTTGCAACATTCAACAAAGAGATCCTGAGGTAACGCTTTAGTAGCTGCTCAAGTGAGCCAGACACAGACCCCAGCCCTTCAGAAATGTACAGCCTACCAAGGGAGATGGAGATGCACTTCAATCCCAATGTGAGAGAAGTGCTGAGTTGCTTAAAGAAGGAAGGTTCAGAAAACCTGTGCCAGGAGGTCAGAAGAGGAAGCAATGACTTTTAGAAAAAAGTTTGAGGAAAAAAACCAATGCTTCTTATCACTGGTCTAATATACTTTCCACTATACAATTTTGAACAATATTGAAAATAATGCTTAATGAGTTCTATATCAAAAGAAACCACTGTTAATGCAAAAGTAACCCAACACTGCAAACTCCCATATATTATTATCAATTCTTTATGTCAATTCCTATGGGCTCCTAATTCTAATTTCCATTTTTTTATAAATAAATCTTATTACATGCTTCCCAGTCAATACTTCTTTAGTTTTGTGATTTTTTTTCACTTCTTCACTCCTCTACACTCAATTACCAGTCACTTCCCAGTTTCATTCTCGTCAAAATAATTGCCTGCCTCCAATTTCACCTCTTTGGCCCTCCTATAGATAATTTTCTTGCAGAATTATCTATCTTAAGTTATAAATTAGTAGAAAGTCCCAGAAGATCTTTACCATAAAATTATATTTTATCATCCAAGTGACTTCAACCCACCTGTAATCACACAAATATTATGTCAAAGCAGTCCATTCCCAAAGATAGAACATTTCCACTTACTGTCCGGGAGCTGAACTTCTCTGTATCGAACGAGCTGACTTGGAAGAAGCGGTTTCGTATGAGCATGTTCAATAAGGGTGTCTTCAACCATCTGCATGATTCCTAACGCAGCCTGTAGAGAAAGGCAGGTCATGGCACATTACAAACCCATAAATGTATCTTGATTAGACAGCAGCCCATGCAGTATGAAAACAACATGCGTGTTAAATAAACTAACCAACTTGATTAAAGTGGATTTTAAGCCTTAAGTACATTTGGTCCTGCTCAAATAGATAAAAACTGAATTTGCTAATTTGCAACAGAGTCACTAAGGTGGTAGTGAGGAGAAAGAGAGACCCAGACAATCACTGGCACCAATCTCGATGTTGGAGCAGAATCGCTGATGGAAATTTGGTCTTAAGTGAATGGCCCTCACCCCAGATATTTGGGGTTACAGCAAAGCAAAAGAGGTAAGCATGAGGCTTTATTCTGAATAAAACTGACCCAGGGAAGAATCCTTTCTCAGCCACTTAACAGCACCTGACCTTGGCATACTGTTCTGGAGACAAAATAGTGGAGTGGCAGAGAGTATGGGCTCTTGAGACAGACTACCATGGGAATTCTAAATTCTGCTTAGCTTTCCATGTGCTAAACACTTGGAATGTACTATTTACTTTAATCCTTGTACATAATATTCTGATAAAGAAACTGAGCACAGAGAGATGAAGACACTTTCAGAAGATTACATAACTTGTAACTGGCTGAGTCAGGATTTGAATCAGGCTGATTCCACACTATGTGCTCTTATCCACTATACAGTCCTGCTGTTCTAGAGTAGGGACCATTATTCCCATTTTCTCCAGTGATCACACGAGGCAGACAACAGAGAAGGCAGCTGTGAAAGTAGGTCCACAGTTAGCCAGGATCATTCCAACTCTTCGTGTACCCTCCCCTACCTTCCTGCAGAGGGCAGAGAAGGCCGAGTCAACACTCATGTGTATATAGGCACACTGTGGTGGTTAGTCAGTAGTCTTAAATAGGGTAAAATTTCTGTTGCAATGATCCATAAAAGATTACTAAAACCTCAATCACCCACCTGCTTTGTTATATTTCCATGGAGAAGGGCTTCAATATGCAGCCGTGACAGGAGTTGAGGTATGAAGGCCTTAAGGCGAGGAAGGGTGACATCTGCAAACAGGTGTAAGAAATTGTAAGCTCTACCTATGAGGTCTTTTTTTTTTTTTTAACTCTGAGATAATTTGAGACTACAGAAGAGTTGCAAAAATAGCATAGGGAGTTCCTATATACCCTTCACCCAGTTTTCTCTAACGTTAAGATTTTTCACAACCATAGGATGCTGATCAAATCTAAGAAGTTAACACTGGGACAATACTATTAACTAAAAAATCTACTTTATTTGGATTTCAGTTTTTTCACTAGTAACCCTTTTGAATTAGTGGTGTTGGAGAAGACTCTTGAGAGTCCCTTGGACTGCAAGGAGATCCAACTAGTCCATCCTAAAGGAAATCAGTCCTGGGTGTTCACTGGAAGGACTGATGTTGAAGCTGAAACTCCAATATTTTGGCCACCTGATGAGAAGAGCTGACTCTTTTGAAAAGACCCTGATGTTGGGAAAGATTGACAGCAGGAGAAGGGGACAACATAGGATGAGATGGTTAGATGGCATCACTGACTCAATGGACATGAGTTTGGGTAAACTCTGGGGGTTGGTGATGGACAGGGAGGCCTGGCGTGCTGTGGTTCATGGTCACAAAGAGTCGCACACAACTGAGCAACTGAACCGAACCCTTTTCTGTTCCAGGATTTAATCCACGATCCTACCTTGCATTTAGTTGTCATGAGTCCTTAGTTTCCTCCCATCCTTAACAGTGCCTTGGTCTCTCTCTGTCTTTCATAACCTTAAGATTTTTGAGCAGTACTGCTCGTTTTACAGAATGCCCTTTATTTGGGCTTTAATAACTCAATTATTATATTGGATTTATGTACTCCTAGGAAGAATACCCGGAGAAGGCAATGGCACCCCACTCCAGTACTCTTGCCTGGAAAATCCCATGGACAGAGAAGCCTGGTAGGCTGCAGTCCATGAGGTCGCTAAGAGTCAGACACGACTGAGTGACTTCACTTTCACTTTTCACTTTCATGTGCTGGAGAAGGAAATAGCAACCCACTCCAGTGTTCTTGCCTGGAGAATCCCAGGGACAGGGGAGCCTGGTGGGCTGCCATCTGTGGGGTCGCACAGAGTTGGACACAACTGAAGTGACTTAGCAGCAGCAGCAGGAAGAACACCTGAGAGGTAATGTGTCTTTCTCACATTGGGGGCACGTGATGCTGACATGCTGTAACAGATGATGAAAACACTGACCACCTCATTATGATGTTGTGTGCCAGATGTCTGTCCTGTAAGTCCTGAACCATTTTAATCTTTGGGTTGTAATTAAGTAACTAATGTATACTTTTCAAGCAACTACGAAAAGCCACAGGGAAGCCACCCCACCAATGCCTACTTTTCTCATTATAATTTAAATACTTATTTTGGAGGAAATACTTTGAGACTATACAAATATCTTGTCTTTACTTAACTTTTATCCACTAATTTAGTGTTAGATGATTAGATGGCATCACTGACTCAATGGACATGAGTTTGGGTAAACTCCAGGAGTTGGTGATGGACAGGGAGGCCTGGCGTGCTGTAGTTCATGGGGTCACAAAGAGTCCAACACGACTGAGCGACTGAACTGAACTTCAGTTAAGAAGAGTTGTCCCTTTTCCGTTAGGACACTATGCTAATAAACGCTACAATGGATGCTAATGCTAGTGATTAAAATTTAAAGACAGACATAGGAAGGGAATTAACAAGTGCTTACCATGTATGTATGCACCAGGCATTTTATAAATGTTATAAACTATAAATTACATGCTATTATTTCTGATTTTAAAGGTGAGAAAACTGGAATTCCTTGGCAGGTCAGTAGTTAGGATTGCATACTCTCATTGCCAAGGGCCTAGGTTCAATCCCTGGTCAGGCCACAAGCAGCACAGTGGTCAAGGCAGGGAGAAAGGTGAAGATACTAAACTTAAGAGAATTTAAATTTCTTGTCCAAAGTCACTAAGCTAGTAAGCTGCAAAGCTGCATTTGAATCCTGACCTAATTCCAAAGTACATATGCGTTCCACTCCACTGCACTGCCCTAGAAGGCCCTTTCACTAGCCCCCTCAGCACTCAGTCTCTTGGCCGCTACAAAAACAATCTGCTTACATTTACGCTTTGCCAATAGACTGGAGCTCCTTGATCCAAGAAACCCCACCTTACTGATCATTTTAAAACCTCAAGCACCTGCAGTCTGGTACCTGGTGCCGAGCAGTCAGTAAATGCTGTTCTAGTTAATGAACTTTAAAATCTATATGCCTAACCAGTGCCTGAGGCAACCAATAAAATAATGACCTTCAATACCTGACTTGTCACTGAAGACATCAAAGGCACAGTGATACATAATAAGTAAGGATTTGTCATAAAAGATTATTAAAAATTCAACAGTATTCTTTTTTCTTATTACTGAGCATGTAGGAAGGAAGATTAATTGGTAGCGCAATGTTGAGAAGTGGAAAAGATAAAACAACAATAAAGGATGATATCAGTCTACATTCTTTCCAGTAAAACCCTGGAAGTAATTTCATTCCATTGAATAGACATTTGTTAGACACACACTGAGGGCATAATATAAATACTAAATAAAAAGAACAAATGGAAGGCATAATTCACTGCCCTTGAGGAATCTAGGACTTTCAGGCAAAACCTCTGAAAATTAGATTTAACATTTTAGGAAAAAAGCAACAAAAGATGACTCTTTAGGCTAATTTACATAATTTCTATTTTTTAACCAAACTGAGTAGATCTACAGATGCTGAAGCATTCTTTCTATGTGACAAGGCTTTTCTTTTAAGCTCAGCCCTTTTTTCCTTTTCTGAAAACTTCAATATTAACAAGGTAAATTCTTGGGTCAAAACACTGTCATTTGCAGAAATCTATGAACAGTAGTAACTAACTGTTGTAGGTCCATGTTGAAAACAGCAAATGTGGTTAACCTGCCTGAATACAAAAGCCACTTCAAAGCCTACCACTGTTTTTGTTTAAAAAAAAAAGAAAAGAAAGAAAGTATACACAGCTGGCTTCTTTAATGGAACTATAAGTTATAAGAAAGCATAAGCAGTAGATAATAGGATAAACCAAAATGATTTTAGAAAACAATCAAGAAAGCATCAAGCTGTAAGTAGAAAGAGTCTCACCATCCAGGGCTTCTTTTAATTCATCTTTAGTCCAGGCCACTTCAGTCATCAGCAAGCGGAGGTAGTACATGGCGTGTTGATGAGGCTGTTCAGCTCGGAAATTGTTTAGAGATCGCATATACTAGTGAGGGAAGACAGGGGTCTGTTAATTTTATCCCATCCTTTAAAAATCATTTCTAAAGAGCAGCTATAATCAAACTTCAATTTGCATAAATTGTGTGCTACTGGGATATGGGATATTGGCTTCTTCCTCCTTTTTGAAGTTATGTGATTAGACAAACTCCCCTCTGATCCTTAAAATAAAGAGCATGCTTTTCCTTTGTCTAGCTTGCTCCCTTATCCCCAGGATCTGACATGTACTTCCTTCACATGTATAGCCTTCACTGTGGGACCTCATTCATCCCTCAGAAGCTATCCCCAGTTTTCAAGGCCTCCATCTCTTGGCATCCTTTAATTCTTCACTACAAGGTCATCCCCAAAGCCTAATCAAGAAACATGGCTATGTGTGTGTATATATATATACTACTGAATCTTCAGTTGAAAATTGATGATAATTTCTCTGGGTGTACAATGAAGGTCATAGTTTGTCTTTTAAAGCAGCTATACATCCCATATATCCACTACTGGGCCAGCTATGAGTTGAATTTAAGTGGCAGAGACATCAAGCCTAAATAGTCTGCCCTAATGTGACAAGGCTATCATGGCAGGCTGAAGTCCCAGCCTGTAGAATCAGCTTCTTCTTAAATGGAGGCTGAAATCTCAACATCTTCAAGGAGTCCCTGAAAGCTACTCGATCTACCTCAGTTTCCCTTCTGAAAGAAAGTTCATTCCTAGCTCTTAGGCCCTATAGAGAAGAGGCCAGGTGTTCACCAGACTCTCCCAGGCTTTCTTTCTGGGAAAAATATAGGATCTAGCAAACATAGGATGAAATGACTGACACAGAGTTATGAATGCTTCTTTTCCTCCTCACCTCTTTCTCAATAATGTTCATAACATGGCAATACTACCTAATGAATTAAAAAAATAAAAATAAGTTCAGAAAACTTACTGCCTCTTTGATAATTTCAAATCTTTTTTCATCAATCTCAAAGGTAGCCATTTTCTCAATGATCTTCTTTAGCAAAATTGGCTGCTTGTCATTGTAACCTTTCACTGAGAGCTACAGAAAGAGTTCAGGATATTAAAAGTCTAAAAATACCATGAAACAACTTAAATTTGACTTTTTAAACATTTAGGAAATCCCCAAACAAGGTGTATCAAAATAAAAATAAAACAAGTTTAATGAATTTCCTTTCTCATAAATATAGTTTAACATTTAGGAAGATATCATTAATCATCTTTATTTACTAAGACCCAAAAGCATATTTTTGCTTTTCCTAAACAAAAACAATAACAAGAAGACTTACCTGGTGCCAAACTATGGCAGCACACACTATATTATCAAAATTCAAGTTCTGATTAAATCACATGAATTATAGAATGTACTTTAAGTTTAATATTCTAAAAGAATTTCTAAGGAATGGCAGGCTAAAGGTTTTTATAGTTGTGTTAAGAAGGTAAACATCAGAGGGGAATGTTATCTAGCAAACTATTGGATATACCCCAAAGTGTTTATATTTAAATATTTAAAAAAATCATCTTTTAGGAAATCAGGCAGTCCCAATTTCGTATTATGTGGCATTTTGCCACTTTCCCTGTTCTGAGCTGCCCAACAAGGATCCATGTGTCATACCACTTGCTTGTTTAATGAGTTCTGCTGATGTACCAAAAGCTAGTGGCAAAACAGATGTGAAGTAAGGATACACTGTATGTACCACCTGGATTTTGCCTGAGGACAATTTAATAGTCTCTGAAACCGTAACATTTTGAAAGGCAGGGAAAGCCTATTTTCTACTGTATGTTGCCACATGGTGGCACCCACAGCAGTAGAGAATACACTGCAACTAGAATATCTCTGGAAGTCTCTACCTGATGAAAACTGATAGGCAAGAACCTCAGCAAGAGTGAAGGTCACTGACCATGGAGAGCCCATCATGAACTGTGGGAACTAGACTGACAACTAGCAGGAAGCCCATTTTGTCACAAATTAAAATGATTAACTGAATGGTAATATGCTACTAAAAGTCAACAGTAAAAAATAAGCCATAGATTAATACTTTCCTATTTGAATTTTACTTTGTTCTCTGGGCTCCAAATTTCCCTGGTCTCTGAGAATGGTTAAGTTATATACATTCTTATACATTAAACAGAAACTACCAGAAAAGTTACTTGTGTGAAGAAAAAAAAGTCACTGCAAATAAAATTTTAAAAACCTAAGACCTTTTGTACAGAATTAGAGCATACAGCACATGCTCTCGTTTTAGTTTTTATGGAAACATACATTTTCAAGAAAAGTGAAGACGAATGTGTGCCAGAAGAGGAGTGTTAATTTGGAAATGAGGTATAAGTTTGGAAACATAAGAGAAATGATTTCAACAGAAAGGATCTAGTTATTTCTTGCAATGCATTTAATAATGCTTATTTTAAAACACATTTAAGTAGTTAATGCTACAAAATAAATTAAATAAAAATGTCAGATGTGTTTGAACACAGGAACTTACTACTACTGTCAACAGAAAAAAAAAAACAACAAGAAAGAAACTTATAAGTAAAACTGAGCACCACAACAGCAACTACGGGTATCTTTCACTTACAGATGCTAATATATTCAAATACATGGGAAGAACAACATGCTTTCAGGATTAATATGTTAAATGTTTCAAGCAGAAGAACATGCAAATAAATGTAGCATACATACATGTTCACAAAATGCACTAAACTCTTACTAAATCGTTTGTTAGTGGAACTAACACTAACTTGAGTTCTCCAATCATTAAAAAGGTGCAAGGAAAAAACCATCAATCTTCTCGGTTTAAAATGCAGAAGTTAATAGTTTTCCCAAGCTCAACATAATGCTTAAACGGTGTGACGCCTTTTCTTTGGTTTTCATTTTACTTACAAGTATTGCATTCATTCCTGATGCAATGCCATAGCTCAAACCTGAGAGGCGTGCTGCATATGTATACTCTTTTAAATCATCCTTCAATAACCTGATAAACAGGTATGTCATGTTGCAATGGAGAGGATCAGCATAAATGTAGCGACTAACAAAAAGAAAAACAAAAGAAATGCTTTGATACCTCAAGCAGTGGCATGGTAATGAAGAAACATGACCGAAGAGTATGAATATGCAGCCTCATGATCTGAATTTCTAGGGAAACAGTATAAGCCAACCTTCTGTTTTACAATGGCAGGAAGACTTCATTCTCTATCGTCAAAGACCAAGACTTCAGATACAGAATGGGTGAGATCTAAGCCTAAATCAGGGTCCAATTTTGTTTTGAGGAGAAAAATATGATGATCTGATGAAAGATGTTTAAAAAAAAAAGAAATCAAGGAAAATTTGCATAATATGAATGGTATATTGCTGAATACTTAAGAGCTAACTTAAAAATTAAATGATAAGAAAATATGATTAGCCACAAAGATTTTTTAAAAAGAAATTAAACTCATACCCTCAATCAAAAATGCTTCCATCAAATCAATATAAAAAATGTTGATGAGTGGAAGGCTCTAAGACGTGGGTACTTACATACATCCCATAGATGGTATTTTGGAGGTCATAGCTCAAGCCTGCTAGCTCTGCTGCATATGCATACTCGTTGAGTGAGTCTTTGAGGAGCTCAAGGTACAAATAGGCCATGTTACAGTGCAAGGGGTCCACATAAGCAAATGGGCTGGAAGAAAATGTTGACAGTAAAATAGCTGATTTATTACTTCCCAATGTGATATGGCCTTTTGAGATGGATCAAGGAACTGAACACTGGTTAAAATAACTTCCTGAAGATACGCTTTGAATTCTTGAATCTGTCTCTTGAGTAAAAACAACAACAACAACAAGATGTCTAACAAAGAAGCTTGAAATGTGCCATGTGTACTGGTAGTAGTGAAGAGGGAAAAGGAATTGCTTATTACCCCAGATGGCGTGGTAGAACTGACAAGTTAGAAACACTGGGTAGGTGAGGAGTAGGAACAGGACAAAATGTGTGCCTATGTTTAAGCTGGTAGGAGAAGGCATGGCCGACAGAGCTGACACAGCATCTGCACATCCTCTTTCTTCCTCTAAGCAAGCCATACATACCCACGGTGGACAGAAGGATGAGACTGAGAAGTTTGTGTGTGCTATGATTACATAAACTTCAAAGAGACAAACTGAGACTTGAAAGAGAAAAATTGACACCTGTGAAAATGTTAGTGCATCTCTGAGTTTCCACCTAAACCAACAGACTAGAACATTGTCAGTAAAGGAACAGATAATATCCATCACATAATTGCAGCCAGAACCAGGAAAAAAATATTAACATAGGAAATTTTTTTTTATAAAACAAGGAAATTTTTAAGTGAGAAACAGCAACAAGAGAGGAAACAATTACAGAGTGCAAGACTGCAGAGATCACCTAATTTTAAATCTTCATTTCTCAAATAAGAAAGATCATTTTCCTCATGTCACCTGGCCAGGTAGCAACAAAATTAGGATTCAGATTTAAGTCAAATGACCTATTCATTTGACTATGTTACACTGCTTACCTTTATGACAAGCAAGTAAAAGATTCCTTCATTCAACATGTACTACATTCTTACTACAATGTTATGCACTCCTCTAGGTACTGGGAATAAAGAAGGAACAAGTCGGGCAGAGTTCCTGACCTCACAGAGTTTAGAGTCTAGTTGGAGGAGGCAAATAACACATTTAAATATGACACATCAGGAGGTTATGGTGTTATGGAGAAAAATTATGCAGAGTAAGAGGAAAAGGAGTGATAGGTAGGACAGGAAGATTACTAATTTCTATAAAATTGCTAATCAAGGCCTCTCTGACAAGGTGACATCTGTGCCTGGGAAGCAAAGGAGCAAGCTCTGGGGATATCTCAGTGGAGAACTTTCCAGTCTGAGGAAACAGCCAGTGCAAAGGACCTGAGGCAGACTCTTGGCTTGGTTTGTCTGGCAGCAAATTATAAGTTTCATTTTATCCATAGCACAGTAAATATAACCAATGCACTGAGAGCAAAGCAACAATTTTATCAAAAGCTGATAATGAAGTAAAAATAGGGGTAAAATGCTTAGCCCCAGAGAAATTAATATCAAAGAGAAAATCCCAAAGCTATACAAACATTCTCCACCTGGCAAATCTAAATAGTACTCTGTCATTTAGTTTTTTAAGTATTTATTATACACAATGACAGATTTCCTTCTTTAGGTAAATAGCAGTTCAGAAACCTTACTGGCACAGCTCACAAACACAAAAGCACCGAAACAAGAGAGAATCCTCAAGAGGGCTTGTCCCCACAGCCACCCTTAGTGGGAAGTGAAAAGCCAGATAAAGCCAGATCTGGGAGTTCAAAGTCATAGGGCTAAAGCTCAGAACACAATCCCAAGAAGTGTTCTGAAAACACCAGCCTTGCTGGTGAACTGGAGAGAGTCCTAAATGAACTTTTAAAAGAGAACATGATTCAAGTGGAATGCTTAAATCCTGGTTCACTTGTTAATTTAAAACATATTATTTTGTAACCAGATATCATGTGCTTAAATATGGATCAGAGTTTTAAAACTTATATGTATGCATGATACTATCCTATTTCTGAAAAGATTAAAAGGATATATACAAACAGAAAATTTCTATAAGAAAGTACAAGAAACTTAACAGTGTTTACCTCTAGAGAGACCAGAACACCAAGATGGATTGGTGGGAGGCAGACATTTTAAATTCTGAGAACTATGCTGGGAAATTTAGAGAATGCGAAAATGTCAAATGGTCTCTCAAAAGATATTCTGAAGCCAAATCACAAAAGCCAAATGGCAAAGTGTGGCAAGCTGCTTAGAGTGTTAAAAAATATCACTTTTAACTATCAAAAACTAAAAATCTTTGTAATATTCTTTGCCAATAGTAAGCTATAATCAGAAAGTTCAGGTTTGACATTTAAAAAACAAAACAAAAAGCAACAATGTCTATGCAGCTCTAGATAATCTATGAATCTCAGGCTATAAATAAACAATGTTGCTATCTCTACAATCTCAACATACTTGTTGGTGAACTATTAACATTCTACTTAGAGATTCTTTTTCCCTCTTCCAAAACATTTAAAACACATCTCAGCTTTAATTTCATGCCAAGGAAATCAAACAAAAATTAATGAAAAAGTTGATCATCATAGTGAACATTATTAGATGATGATAGGGTTTTTTTTTTTAAAAATAAACACAGACCACTGAATTTTAGAAATATAAAATTACAGAGTACAAACTCACAGAGTAAAATTTGAATTGAATGATAACGTTATCACACAAATAAAGAAGACGGAGGTGAACTAAAGATTTATATTGAGGACTCACTGCAACAGTAGCATTATTCATAAATTTTACTAAACATCTTCTACCAAGTCAGAAATAGAGGACGCAACATCTAAGGGCTCCAGACAATTAAAGGACTGGAAGGGACTCAAGATCATTTAGTAACTACCACCTTTTTTTCTGGACAAGCTCTAGGAATACAAAACCAAAACCACAACAAAAAACCACCCTGGATTATTTAATCTTTTTTATCAGTGAACTTCTGGTGAATCTATAGCCTTCCCAGATTCAAAATCCTCAAGGTCAGGAAGATCCTCCTAATAGCTAACATAAACCATTTCAGTTGAAGAGTGTGCTCCTCAAAGGAAAGGAAGAATTAACAACCTTGGCTCCTAAAATACCATTTAACAGAAGATGCAGCCTTCCCTGGTCTATGCTAAATAATTCTAATTCCTTTTATTTCCAGGCATAGGTACTTAAGGAAGCAAAGAAAACTTTTAGAAATATTGATTTTTATAGGAAGCTTTGTAGCTAGATTCATTTTACATACCTGAAAAATTCAAAGTTGAGACAGGCCTTGGGCAAGAAAAACTTATCATCTTGTTTGAACCAGAGTTTGCTCATAGCTGTATCCTGTGATGGAAACACAATATATTTAGGGAAATATAGGCACATTTGACAAAAATCTTCAATCAAATCTCTCTTCAAGAGGAGAACAGAGGCAACAGCTGAATTTTGTTCTGGAGAGGCTATTGTCCCATGGCTCTGAAGCACTCTCCAAGAGACAGCAGATGGGAAGATGGAGAGATGACTGGTAACTCTAGCAGCAGAGAGATATTACCCTCTTATCTCACCCTGGGTCAAAGAGATGGGGACCCAGTGGAGGAAGAGACAGACAAAAGAAATCTACACCAACCATCCTGTCCCTATCTTTCTCGATGTTAGAAGGCAGATGCAAGAGTCCTTGGGGGGTAGGTATGAGGCAGCCAGCCTCCAAGGTGGGCCATATGGATCCCAGCCTGCAGGAATTCATACCCTTGTGTGGTCCTCTTTCCTGCACTAGACCAGGGTTGGTCTCTGTCTGACCAACAGAATATGGCAGATGTGATGGTATGACACTTCTGAGATTAGATTATAAAAAGACTCTGCGGCTCCCATCTCAATCACTCCTTTTCCCTCTTGGATCTCACATTTTAGGGGAAGCCAGCTGCTGTGTCAAGCAACTCTATAGAGAAGCCTATGCAGTGAAGAACTAAGATCTTCCCTAAACCACACAACTGAACATGGAAGAGACTTCTCCAGCCCTAGTTGGGCCTTCAGTCGACCAAAGCTCCATCCAACAGCTTGACTGTCTCTCTCATGGGAGACCCTGAGCCAGAACTACCCAACAGAGCAACTTCCAGATTCCTGTCTCTTAGAAGCTGCATGAGAAAAAATAAATGTTTGTGGTTTTAAGCTGCTGAACGTTAGAATAATTTGTTACACAGCAACAGATAACTAATACAGCCAAGGATGAATAAATAAGCCACTCCTTCGACTCTCCACTCACTCATTCATACCAAATTATATAAAGTCTTAGAGTTCACGTGAAACTACCTTGAAACTCTGAGAAGAGACATAAATGGTTTAGTGTTCTCCTTACTTTATCCTAAGACGGCCTATTTAAAACACACAAAAAATTAGGAAAAGTAAATAAGCTTTCTCTTTGAATAACCTAACCTTTAACTCATTAAAATATAATTTTTAAAAGAAAAGTGACTATCTCACTAGCAATCTAGTTACTTGAGATAAATTTCACAGTCCTAAACACTAACTCTTGTCTCAATGACTTAATGTTAGGTCTTCTGAAGGGAAAGAAAGATGTTTGTCTATGGAAGTAAGTTTATAAAGAATTAGTTTTGAAGTTTAGAAAAGAGGATGTGCTGTAATAATTTGATCCATTTTTCTATACAATCTACCCAAGGTGTGAAATAATGACATGACAAGAACATTTGGAGAAAGAAAACTCCCTTCTCAGTCATTCATTCCATGGATTTATAACTCCACTAACTTCATACAGCCACTCTTTCAAAATGAGAAAGAATTGTTTATAAAGGCAGGAAATCCAACAGCTTCCCCTGGATATGCTCTCTTCCAGGCTTTAGAGATTCTTTCTTATCTTTAACTTTCATGATGCAGCATAAGTCTACTTCCTTATTGGGTCTTCGGTGAACACAGAAGAAAGGCTTTCAACACTGAGTTATATCTTTCAACAGACCAATTATAGTCCAGACTTACTACTTTATTTTCTGCAAAGCAAACAATTCCCTAGATTCTATGCCATACAGCAGTTTTGTTTTTTTTTTTTTTTTTTAGCAGTTTTGTTTGCTTTGACATTTTTAGCCTTTTAATATTTTTTTTAGTTATTATCTCTGCAAATCTTCTGTTATCTCTGGGGTGGGAGCCCCCTAAATCAACATAGTACCAAATGAAAGAAACCATCTCTCTAGTCCCCTCCATGTAATAGGTCTGTCCCCTAACTTTAATATCACTGATTCTAACATATTACCTTAATAAGAGAAGGGTATGGTGTTGCTTCTTTTTCTAATGACAAAATTTCAAAATTTGTAGGAATAAATTCATTCTTCGTTGGAAGTTTAAATTTCCCATTCAGATCAGCATTTTGCCATTTCTGGATGAAGAGTGAAAAAATACACAAACAAAAGTGATTAGAATCTGATTTAAGAGTTAAACACTCATTTTGCTTAATATCCAGGGAAACAATAAGGAATAAATATCAGCATTCTTTGCCACCATATATAGAGGCTACTTCCAAAATCTAGCAATGACTTTTCATGAAACTTGAGTTGGAATCTCTGGAACTAATCAAGGTTTTACACTTATCTATCCACCTTTCTTCTTTACACATCTCTAAAATGACCAGCTGACATGAAGGAACAATCGGAGACTATGGAACGAGGAGGCTAATTTATGAAGATCACATTTGCTCTTGCTCTTTAGAGAATGGAGAATAACCTGCACAGAGACATACTTCCACAACTGCCAGACAACAGGTAGTTAGTCTAAGAGTTAAACTTTCAGCTATACTAAGTTACTTGCATGTATGGCTTGAAAACTAGGTTAAAGAGGGTTTCTTTCACTTCACTTCTGAAGCCTGGCCCACTCCTCTTCCAGATGACCATGTGAATTTTCAAGTGGACCAGTATTTCAAGCCTAGGGTTAATGACAAATCTGAGATTTAAGTCAGCTTAACTGTAGAATAGGATTGACCCAACCTACAGGCTGGGTCTGTTCCATGGGCTACTTCCAAAAGCTAAGTGAGACTGATTAGGCCACAACTGATGAATTCTGACTTGTAAGACTTTTTATTACTTAAAAAAAAGCAACCAACTGCCAGTGCTTCTGGGTTCAGTAATCTGGTCTCCAGTTGATGTCTCATAGCTGTGCAGCTCTTGCAGTTCTATTTTGGTTCCTGCATCTGTATCTTTTGGCACTGGGATGGTAGGGAAATTGACCACATTATTTATAAGTAGCAACTTAAGTCTCCAGAATGGCTGAATCGTAGGGAATGGTAAGCACTCAGCAAGTAATTTCACCGCTGAGCTTCCAGATCAATTTGTTTTCATTTCCATTTGGAGTAGGTTTGTCATGGTCAGAATTTGGTTTTCTCTTGTTTTGGGGTTAGTTCACATCCAACACTAACCCATGGGAGATCAGCTACCCTCACAGCTTAGTAAGATGCACATTTTCACACACTAAAGGATTTCAGTCATTTCCTCCTGTGCTGTAGCTATGTCAGAGAAATACCAGTAATAACTTTCTTTCTTATTCTTTTTTCTATTTTGTCATTACCCTGCTACCTTTAAGAAATGTCTATTGTTAAAGTTTAACTAGTATTTAGTTAGAGTAGTAAGGTTTTCTGATGTCTTCCCATGAATAAAGGACACAATCTCAAAGCTACATAGCCAATGAAAATCAAAAAAGACAAAGCACTAGACAAGAAGATAAGACTCACAAACAAAAATCCTGACTCCTCATGTGTAACACCAGCAACATACTATTTACTACACATACCTGTTTTGAAACAAACTGTGATGATCCTATGTTGACGAAAAGAGCAATAATACAATAATACAATATTTTATGAGGCATAAAATATAGCCCCTCCTAAGGTGAAGACAGTATGAATCCTAGAAACTGCTCCCCATGTGTGTTCAGAGCAAGGTCATGAGCTCTCAGAAACCCTTGCATCCATCTTTCAGGCTCCCTATTTCCATCTCTTCCTGCCTGTCTTGGTGCCTTTGCATCCCTGTGGACTGTGAACTCCAATAATCTTTGACTGCATGAGGCTGAAGTCTGTTTAACCGTCCTGCTGGTCTGACAGACATGTGAGAAGACAGCTGTGGTATCATTTCTTCATGTAAGTCCTAAGCTCCAGCTCTCTTGCTCCCGGTCGACTCTTCCTGGGAGGGCACCGACAGCGCTGGGCCACGGCTCTCCACACTCTGGGCTGGGAACCGGCTGACCCGGGGGCCTCCCGTCCCCGAGCCCCTCAGGCGGCGGGGCCCCCTCACGGACCGGCGAGCCCTACCTTAATGACCTCGGCTGGTATGGCTTCTTGTCTGTACTGCGTTCCGTACCACTCCTCGGTGCGATCCGTCTTTCCTTCAAAAGATTTGGAAACTATCGCCACCCTAGAAATAGATGGAAAAAAAACCCTATAAATTCATGTTGTATACAGAAATTTATAGAATCCGACTCATGGAAATATGAATAAATGTTCAAGAATGTGTTGGGCTTCTGAGACCAAGTAAAGTTCTATGAGGCTTAGGTGAAATGGCTATGTATGTACAGCAGTCTCTGATCACAGTCTTTGTTACCCTGATTATAGCCCATCATTTTGGGTGTGAAAAACCGCTTGCAAAGAAGATTCTTGTTATGAATGCTATTGACTAGAATCTTAAAAGAAGAGTAGCTGGGGAAAAAAAAATTGAACAAAGGTCAGTTGAAAAATAGTCTTTGAAAAAGCACAACAAATTGAATCAGCCATGGATTTACATGTGAAAAAAAAATTTTTTTTTAAGAAAAAAGAAAAAGCACAACAAAGTACTCCTTCCTAGGAACAGCGCAGGCCCAAGGTTACAAAAACGGCTTAGAAAACTTGTTGGCTCACTCAGAGAACCAAAAAAACTAAAAACATTCTTTCACTGTAACTTGCTAATTTGTACTCTGTTTTGTTTTTTTTTTCTGCCAGACACTGCCATCAATTAACTGTATGTATTATATTTACACTGGCCTTCCTGCTGCCAGGGGAGATGGGGACAGGACCAAGAAAAACATTTCTTTCTCTGATGGGAGAGTAGGAACTTCATAGAAGAGAAATGAGAAGGGGAAAAAATAGTTTAGGGAGGGAAGGCAGAGGTAAAATGTCAGAAGATTATAAGCAAAGAAGCTGAAGAAGCTCTGCACCAGTGGAGCTCCTGTCCTAGGGAAGGTTGCTGCCTTTTAATTATCAAAGTTAGAATCATTTCACTCTGACTAGCTGGCTCAACGCCAGACTGGGAGCAACCCTTTTGAATCGTGTTGACAGAGTGCTAAGCCAATAGCTTGGAAGGCTTGCCATGTAGTCAGTCCTGTTATTGGTTTCACTTCTTTATGTCCCAGTTCAGACAACTAAGTTCATGTCTATTCTTGTTTGTTCTCACTTATCCTCCCAGAGGTTAGGTTCCAGTCTCTGAATGTCAGTATCACAGCTCAAAGTCCACTCCTTTCAATCAAAACTCCCCTCTACTGAACACCCATTCATTTTCAGAATCCAAACACCTGCCCATCACTGGACTGCCTCAACCCCAGTGCCTGACCGTCAGAACTACCATCTACTTCTTATTCATTCTAGATAAAATAGTCTACCTGGCTAGTTGGATTTGGCCTTCTCACTTGCTTCAGGGTCAATATTACAAGCAATCTGACTCACCTGTCTGTTAGAACGGCTGACTTAATCTTCTAGTTTATGGTATTCTGGATCTGGTCTAGCTGCCACTGACCACTATGTGTTCTAGAAAACATGCTAAATAAGAATATGTTCCACAGAAACACACAGAAGAATCCAAGGGTCTAACAGATGAAAGAGTTTGGATATTGTATCCATGTTGGCAATCTGAGAATCCCTTATGAGGGGTACGTGTAATGTACACAGAGCTCACATGGCCACATGAAGAGTATGTGACGTTTCTTAAGGACATTCACTCAATACATGACAGAGCCAGCTAAGACTCAGTCATGGAAACTGCTTCCACCCCTGTTGATTTCTCAAAGAATGAATGGATTAATTCTTAGGGAGACACCTAAAAAAATGTGTTAGGAAGTAGAATTACATGGTAGAGAGGTAGAGGTGGTATTCCCATCTTCTCTTCCATGACATGCTTGATTTTGAAAAAGTTTATTACACAGATGGCTCTGATTTCCCTGAATGACAACCCCATGTATCAGAATAACGAACAAGGGGTTGATTACAACTTAGGAAGACTGGGGCATTCATTCAGCAGTGGACTTGCCTTCTGGAACAAGGAAACTTTAAACTCAGGTCTGAGCGAGAAAGTGAAAAAAACTCAGGGAAAGCTGCCAAATGTTCTGGAGGATGACCATATGACACAGAAAGAAGCAGACAGTGTAGGCTGACGAGTAAGTTAAAAAGGGGGGAGAAGGACAATTTACTAGGTACAATCCTGAGGGATTTGGACAGTTAGATACCAAAGTAAAGTGTATGGGTAACAGGTGAAATGTTACCATGAGGCTCCTCAAACTAGGTAAATACCAAATATTGGCCTAACAAAAAGAGAGACCAAGAATTAGCAAATCATTGAGCAATTAAAAACTGAAATAAAATGATAGAGTATGTATTTTCAAACAAATTATGAAGGGGAAATAACAGAAGAGACAGCTTAGACACACGTCAAACATACAGAAATCTACAAATCAGAGTGTGGAAGCACAAGAGGATCTCAATTAGGAGAAAAAAAGCACAATAACTGAGGTACACCAGAGAGCTACAGTATGTTTAACTGCAGACAACTGAGAAAAACTGGCATGGACACTGCAGCACCTTAGACCATCTGCTGGAAACCTAATTATGCTAATTAAAAAAAAACCAACCTAGTCTCCATGAGTTTTTTCCTAAATGTGGGGGGGTGGGGGGGGCGGGGAGAGGGCAATGCTGTTCTTTAATTCCATCTACAAAGAATTGGCTACTGATACGGTACTAACAGAGGAGGGCATGGCGACCCACTCCAGTATTCTTGCCTGGAGAATCCCCATGGACAGAGGAACCTGTTGGGCTATGGACCATGGAGTCAAAAAGAGTCGGACACAACTGAGCAACGAAGCACCGCATAGCACGTGGTACTGACAGGATCCTTGAGAATATGAGAGAAAGCGATCCTCTAGTTTCATACTGAAGCTTACAATACTAAGAAAAAGAAACAGTGGGCTAGAATGAATGCTGACTGCTCGGTTCAAATCAGTCACTTGGAAGTGTTCAGAGGAAAGAATAGCTGCCGTTGCTGATGGGACCCATTCAGAAATAATCTTGACTATAGACATTAAAAGGCAGTATCATTCCCAAGGGACGAATTCTCATGACACCTTTGCAAACAATCCCTGAGACAGAAAAGAGGGAAGACAGCCGAAAATGAGAAGAGGCTTCACAGCTAACTGTGACGAATTTAAAGAAGAATTGGTAGGAACTGCACAGACCTGGCCATCAGAAACAAATTCTGGTTGATACCATGACTCTCTTTCTTTGAGATCTTGCCAAAATCACAGTTAAGATCTAAATTAGGCAAGTCTCCGGGCTTCAGTTTCATCACTTTTTAGAACTAAATAAATTCTACCCTCTTACTAGTAGAATTCTACAATATCACAATATTAAATCATATTTTTAAAAGATACACAACAGAGGAAGAAAAAAGGCACAAAAATCTAGGCACAAAAATGATTTGTCTGTGTTTATGACAGTACTAGAATCGTCTTAAGTACTATGGCATTAGAGTAAGCTTTCAGATCTGGCAGTTTTAGTCCTCCAACTTTTCTTTTCCTGTGTAGAAGTGTTCCAAGTAATCTAGGTCCTTTGTAGATCCATATGAATTCTGGAATCAGCTTACCAATAGCTTAAGGAAAAAAGCCTACGAAGACTTTGATTGTGATTACATTGAGTCTGTGAATCAAACTGGAGAGGATGGATATTTTAATAAAATCAAGTCTCCTCATCTATGAACAAGGTCTTTAATATCTCTTGCCACTGTTTGATTAAATTAATTCCTAAGTATTTTATGCCATTGTTGCTATTGTAAATACTTAAAATTTTTTTTATGGTTTTATTTTTATATAGTTACATATTTCTATAGTTAGGAAGTTGCAAAAATAGTACAGGGAGGTCCTGCGGCCTCTTTACCTAGTTTCCCTCAATGGTTACATTTTACCTATAACATCAAAACTAGGAAATTGTTGTTGGTACAATGTGTGTGTATAGTTTTATGTCATTTTACCACATGTACTGATTTTGTATAACCACCAATAATATTTCCTTTAATTTAATCTCTCTACTGTTTGTTGCTAGGATATGTCTGAAAAAGTTCAAACAATGGTAACTAGGAAAATGACTGATAGAACAGTTCTGTCAGAAGATCTTTTCAAAAAGTTATATCAGATTGTTGATTTTATTCATAAGATGACTGCTCCCAAAAAATATTTACTCAATCACCAAGTTCCCAGAATTCTGGAAATATGTGCTTAAAAGGGGAGGAAGAAAAAAAAGGGGGGGGGGAATAAAATACGCAAAATGTGTGCCAATCAAGTGTGTACCTTTTATTCTTGACTTTTAGAAAATATAGATGAAATTCAATTTTAAGGCAGAAATATCATGTGGTAGCTCATAAGCTCTTTAGGGCTGATCCTCCTCTAATAGAAATATTTGTTAGCCTAACAGCTCCTCCAATTTTTGATTTCCTGATTAACCACTAGCCAGTCAGAAGCATTGAGACTGTAATCCTTACTTTCACTTAAAAAAACAGAGGGTGTCCTCACTTGTTTATAAAACCAGACAAATGAGCTGACATTTTGGGAGTTAGAGTTAGGATGAAGCCAGGTTAAGACAATCTATTCTTATATCTTACTCATAATGAAATTATGATTATGTTGTTTTTTTAAAAGAGAATCTCATGTTTTCAAGATATTGACTTAAAATAATCAAGACTGGAGGAAGGGTGAGTGAAGAAGTGTGGATAAAGATCAAAAAGGCTAGTCACGTACTGATTGCTGAAGTTTGGTACTGGTTCATTATACTGATTCTCTCTACTTTTGTAATCATGCTTGATAAAAAGTTTAAAAGCATTTTATTCACAATTTCAAATTTTCAGGTTCTAACTATCACTGAAAATCTAGTATATAACAGTAAAATCTGTAGAGTGACTCACCGGACATTTTCTGGTCTGAGTTTATCGAGAACCATCTCTATTAAATCTGGTCTAAATTCTTCCAGTAAATATTCAGCTGTGAGCACTTCTTCTAGGGGATAATACTTTTTAAAAGGAAAAGAAATACAAAAGTAAAATGTGCAAGGCTATGATACAGTTTAACTTATTAAAGCAAACAGATCTCTAACACATAAAATCCTCTATTTTATACCCCCCTTCCCTCCAATTAAATTTTATTTCATTGTAAAGATTTCTGAATCTTTTCTCTTTCTTATCACACTTTAAGCAGTTTCACATTGTGGGATAATTTTAAAGTTAATCCCCAAATACACTTACGTTATAGAGAACAAAAGTACATTTTTCCAGGGAACAAGTAATACCTCCAGCTAAAAACTGAGTGTTGATAAAAAAAAATTTGGTGATTAAACACTGACATCTATAGGATTCTTAATATAAAGTATATATATTTTAATAGAATTTCTACTCAAATGTCTATGAATGAAATCAGACAAGCATTTAGAAAGTTGTTATGGAGGAAAAATGGCTTATATTTTCAGTTACTAAAGAAAAATAATGTGAAAGATACTTTCTAGTAAGGGCAACTTACTGAGACAGACTGATTCATTCATTCAACAAGTATGTAATGAACACCCTACTCTGTGCCAGGTACTGTTCTAGGTGCTGTTGTGGGTACAATGGTAAGTAAGACAGATGACGTCCCTGCTCTTTAAAGAGCTCATGTTCTAACTAGGAGGAAAGTGAAGTCGCTCGGTCGTGTCCTACTCTTTGCGACCCCACAGGCTGCAGCCTACCAGGCTCCTCCGTCTATGGGATTTTCCAGGCAAGAATACTGGAGTGGGTTGCCATTTCCTTCTCCTGGAGATCCTCCCAACCCAGGGATTGGACCCAGGTTTCCCGCATTGTAGGCAGACGCTTTACTGTCTGAGCTACCAGGGAAGTCCTCTAACTGGGAGGAAGGCAGACAATAAGCAAACAAATATTGTCATTATACTGATAAGATGCTATAAAGAAAATTTAAAAGGGGCAGGGTCATGATTGAGAGGACAGGGAAGGCGTCTCTAAAGGAGAGACATCTGAGTGGAGACCGAACGGGAAGAACCTAGCCATGCAAAGACTGTTAAGTGTTCCAGGAAGAAAAAAGCAGCAAATGACAGGGCCGTGAGAGGGAAGAACAAACTAAATGCTTAAAGATTAGACAAAGAGCCAGGATAGCTGGAGTGGAATGGGAATGAGAGAGGTGGGAGGGGAAGTGATATGGAATTCGGTCAAGCGAGAGGCTAGAGTCAGATGTCGTTATGGGTCAGGTGAAAATTTAGATCTATTTCAACTCTGATGGGAAACCACTGAAAGGCTTGACACAGAGGAGTGAAATAATCTGATTTGGGTTTTCAAAAGATCACTGAGGCATGGAAAAAACACTAAAGCCAGGGAGATGGCAAACACGGAACTCAGGTAAGAGTCCATGATGGTAATACAGGTAAGAAATGAAGGTAGCTCATTTTAGGGTGACAGCAATGGAAAAAGAAAAAAGTGGGTGATTTACAGCTTTCACATAAGTAGCACATGACACATAGTAGAACTGAAAAATATTTAAAGCCAGTAAGCATGATGTCTATGTAATAAAAATATTACAGATGATGATTTTCAGGATGATGAAAATTAAGATTTTAAATATGTCTTCACATCAGAGTTTAGTGGTTGCTACAAAGTCTAAAGTTTTACACTGTAGCTTCAATTTTTTTGATTTGTATAGTACTGAAAGTAACATATACAGGATCACTGAAACACTCTATGTGCCAAAGTACAGAGTAAAATAACAATAAACTTACATGTAATATTCCTGCAATCTTAGAGGTATAACCCCGCGGTCTCTCTTTATCTTTAAACCTAAAAGCAACAGCATTCAAGTCCTAAAATAAAAAGTTAATCCAATTAGACATAAGTTACCTGTTATTTAGAAATACTTTTTTCCTTGGTGGTGGGGGTTGGTTTGCCTCCTATTTTCCTCCATATATAACTATCACACTTTCTGAAAAAATGGCTATGCTTGATTTAGAAATGTACAGAACACGAATGAAAATAACAAATATAGAACATGATTAAATAAGCTAAATTGTTGAAACTATTAGTCAAACAATTAGGAAAACTGTGAAGGAACCCTGTGAGAATTATCAGTTGCATAGATGATGATTTTACTGACCCTCTCAGAGAACTGTAGCCTGATTAGAAGTTACTGTCCTAAGTTTCACAGAGATTATACCTTTAAACAAAATACATTTCAGTCTTGAATAGATCTTAAAGTAGATGTTAAAAAAAAAAACTCTTAAAAGAAGTCTTTAAAAATTTAAAAGACAAATACCTTTTGTTCTATGCAAAAAAAGAAAGAAAGAAAGAAAAGGACAGGCTTTTCCCTACATACAACAATAAAATCACTTTTAAGAACACAATAATATATATAATAATTCACTGTTTCTTTGAGAGTTCAATACAAGTTTTAGATACAGCTTCAGAGAACTGGAGTAAACACTGGTACATAAAAGCTCAAGAAACTCCCGGCTTTCTTCTCAGGGATAGAACAGCAATCTATTTGGTTCTTTCCTTTTCCTCCTAAAAAGAGGATACTTGATGCCTCAACCCTTAATTGTGTCAGGTAACCAATCAGACTAGTTAAGACTAGCCCTTAACTAAAGCTACTATACATTTCAAAATTTTAGAGTTTAAATTAGGAACAATAAAAACTTTAAAAATTTCACTGGGCCTTACATTTAAATTAACTCACATATACTTGTTTCTTGAAAACTTTCCATAAGAAAAATTTTGGTGAAACAAAAGTACCTTGCACTCTTGGAAAACCCATTCTTGAGGTCCTTCTGCTCGTAACTTCTGAATGTATTGAAACATGTGCAAAATTATATCTTCAACATGTACTGGAAAAAAAATGTACATTTAAAAACCATTCAGTCTTCAAATCCTTCAAAGCAAGGAGTTTACTCCTAAGGTAAGTCAGGTACGTAGAAGACATTAGAAATGGACTTCTCCCCTCCCTGTGACTAGGTTTAGGGTCCCACATACATGGCCTTCCAAGATCTGGAATTTGTGACAGAAGGGACTTTGGGGGTAATAAATGAGCAAATAAAAAGTCAAGCACACATTTTACAAGTGCAACAATGATCAGATGTTAAGGAGGGAAAATCACCCATGAAATGGAGGCCAAGTTACAACAGATAAAACAGTATGAATTAAAGTCTTTATAGCTTTACAACAAAAAAACAGATCCAGAGCATAAATAAGTTAATAAAAGTTAATCATAAAAAATCAATTTTCATTAAAAAATGGCCAATACTTACATAATCCTTCTTCAGTCAAGTCCACATTAATGATAAAAAACATAAAACCTCGGGCTCCTTCCTTTTGCCCACCAACAAGAGTATTTACCCAGCCTGTAACAGTCAAAGGAAATCAACGTGATTGCTTGTGTGTCTTCTTTTAAGACAAGGAATTAAAAAAAAAAATTCATTCTATACATTCCCAAGAGACTAGAAGGGCATTCTGCAGAAAAGACTGGGCAAAAATCAGTTCAGAAAAGCAGTTTCAGGCACTGCAAAAGATTCAAGGACTTTTGGGGGTTGGGAGTTTTTCTTGGGACTCCTCAAATCATTTCCCAAATCAAGAGTAGACTACTGTGCTTAAGTGCTATATACAGAGTCTGAGTGGAGAGGAACCTTGGAAATCTACTGACTGATCCTAGTATTAATACACCCTTTGATGGATTTGATGGATAAGAGTAGATAAATGTTTCAGCTCATTTCATAGAGATGGTAAACAATATACAATATGAGATTTACATTTTTTAGCCTCTATCTTATTTAAAACATGGGCCACAATATCTTTTGAAATATTTAAACTTCACTGCTCAATACCAAAAGGGTAAAAAAAATTATGAAAAAAGACAAAAACAAAAACCCCAAAGAAGAAAAATAAGCATACTAACAACCATCACCTCACTCTCCCATTAACCCTAAATAGTCTCATCTGAAACTATCCCTTCACAGGGAAATATTTAGGAGAAATGAGAGCCAGAGTAAAAAAAAAAAAAGAAAAATGATACAGATGGGGTACTACCCTCAGAAGCTGGGACCCAAGAGACTCACCCTTTGATTTAAGTTCTGATAACAGACTTCCAGGGCCTTCGTGCCCAATGAGATGACCGAGATAATGACCCGGATTTGATTTGTAGTATTTCTGAAGGTCAGGTATGGGAAATGTCACATAAAGATTCCTAATATCCTTAATGGGTACTACTTTGTAAAGTTGCTGGGGGAAAAAAACAAACCACAAAACATTAGCTATGTTCAAATCCTATTAAAAAAAAAAAAAGAATTTACAGACTATGAAGAATACTGATTTAAAACAAACAACAACAACCCTGATTTCCACAGAAGAATCCCAAAATTCAGGAGAGAAACAACTGTCAGAGAAAATGATACTGACCAAACAGAAATAAATGACCTGGCTCTTTCTTAGTGGGATTTCATTACAGTTGGTATGCGGTCCATGTTTGGTCCCCTGGACCATGTGGCTCAATACTTTTGGATGCTTGCCTTCTGGCACTGCTCACCAGCTTCTACAGTCTGCCAAGGTTATAGCTACCAAAACTACTTTTAGCATGAAAAGATCAGAACATATTGTTACATTTTGGTAATACATGTCTCGAGTATATGTGAAACTGATTTCATTTGACTACCCAGACAAATATTAAAAACCATATAAGTAATGAAACCTCTAAAATGTTCTATGTACTCTGGCAAACTAGGCATATATTATGTCCATAAATTTAAAACAGAAAAAAAATACTAGCAATAAATGCACTTACTTTAAGATGTTCTTCTTGGAAAGGATGTTCAGGAAATTCTGGCAATGGGACATTTTTGTTCTCTACTTCAGAAAATAACTTTACCACCAGATTAGTCAAGTCATCTAAAGATTCTACAAGAAAACAGACAATGGAAACAGGACTTAAACTAATCATAACACCTAGTGGGTAGTATTTAAAACCTTAGGATTATATGTGTACATATATAAAATCACTATGTTATATACCTTACATTTATACAATGTTATGTTTTAATTATATCTCAATAACGCTGGTGGGAAGAACCTTAGGATCTCCTGAAAAATCTCAGGACTACTAAAAGGAAAGCCTAGGAATTTTTTTAAAACTCCATCTGACAAGTTGAAGCATTCAGTTAAACCCTACCAGAGTCTGTATAACTTCTGTACCTATGCAATATTGATAACAATTATACCTCACAAATGTCTCCCTCTTCATAGTCTAAAAAACTATTTTACAAGTATTATCTTGAAATAATTTAAAAATAAACATTAGAAACAAATAATTAGTGGCATTTTGAAACTGACTATTTTATCTATAATTTCCAACAGAAACATACTAAACCACTGGCTGATAGACAATAACATTAACTTTTTAACAGTCTAAACCTATTATTAAAAGTCAAATGTTAGCATCTGTAAGTAACTGATTTTGAGGGAGAATAGTACAAAATGGTGAGAAGAATCCTGGGGCAGGGGATCAGAGGACTTTGATTCTAACCCCAACTCTAACACCAACAAATTATGTCAAGAGTATTTAGACAAACTGGTTAAGCACTCCAGGTTCTATGAAACATGAAAGCTGGGTAGAGTGATCACAAGTCTCTTCCAAGGTTTAACATTATATGATTCTGTATCACATTCTGTCAAACTCAAGCAAAGATTTGTAACTGTCGTAAGATTATATAGCCATGTGTGTGAAATTCTTCTATATTATCATCTATCTATATTTTTTATAGAGAACTGTAGTCACAAAGTTTATAAAGTTATATAGATGAGATGTTCACTGCAGTATCATTTTTATAAAAATAATAAAAACTGGAAGTGACTGAAACAACTATCAATGTGTACATGTTATAAGACATCTCTACATTGGAATTTTATGTAGTCATCAGTGAGAGGGAGATCTGTATGGGCTGACATGAAAATATCTCAAATTTCTGTTAAGTGAAAACTGCAGATTTCAGTCCCATGTAGTATAATCTCATTTAATTTTTTAACAGATATACATAAATCTAAATCTATCAATGAAATTCTACTTTTGGAAGTATAACAAAAATGATTTAAGGTGACTATCTTTGAAGATGACACAGTGTTCATAAGGTGGGATGAGGAAGAAGAACTGATTTCCATTTTTATATATTTCTGTTTGGGACAAATTTTTTTCTATGCACACGTATTACTATTATTCTAAAAAGAAAAAAAGTGGAAAAGGTTATCTTTTTATAAACAAGATAACCACTCACCTTGATTCTGTCTCCTCAAAAATAGGTTATTTATAAATGGTATAAACATTCATCACTTATTACTGTCAGGAAGAGTTTGAATCAAATAAGAAATTTCCCTTGATATTCTATGACCCATTTTGAACTTCTCCATGAACTCTGTAAAAAACACTTAATCACTATTTGACAATTGTCTATATATATACTGTGAAGTTCTCTTTTACGTCTATGAATGTGGGTATGTGTACTTTATTTATAAAACATACGCATTTTTACTTCAATTTTTTGGGCTTGTATGAAGAACCTTAACATGTCCAGAGCCAAATAAAAGGCCCAGCACGTGGCTGCCCATTACATGACAAGTGAACTCAGGAGTGAAGAGGGTGTATCTTGAGTGAAAGATGTCAGAGAAATCTGACACAAAGACATAAAGAAACAGACAGATTAGACATGTAACTGGAAACAAGGGGGGTGGCCAACAATGATTTGTCAACCTGAAATGCTGATGACAGTGGGGCCCTTTACAGCAAGGTTCTACTAGGATATGCCTTTCCTTTTCAAAGCACAAATTCACCGTGAAGCTTTTTAAAGGTAAGGCAATTGTACCATAAAGCAACATCTGTCTTCACAATTAGGCTGTGAGCTACCAGAGATCAGGGAACTGAGTCCCATTCATCTTTACATTACCAGGACTTGGTCATCCTAGGGTCTCCACTTGACAGCTACCTATTTGTCAAGTGTCCAGGTAATTGGTGCTGCCACAACGAGAGAGAGGACCTCAGGGGAAAACAGAGAAAAACTTTTTTGTCCCTTTGTGACAGAGATTCTGCCACATGGTTACTCTTCCTCTTCCCTCCTCCTAGGAGGAGGAGCAGATTATCCATTAATCCTCTAAGAGATCCTGTTTCTTCCACACACCACTGTACTGTAAGTACACCTCTCCCAGACCTGTCATCAAATCCACTCAGCTGAGCACAGAAGGTCAGTCACACTGGCAGACCAAACTGGAACAAAGACACTCTTTGTTTCTTTCAGATGCTCATTCTGTCACTTCCACTAAACCAAGAACACTGAGGGCAGGGTTCATGTCTGAGTCATCTGTTGTCATTATTACTTGCCCAGTAAGTGCTTATGGAAATCATGTGTTTTATCTCAGGAGGACATGAACAAAAATACGCTTAGAAACCTACTCCCAGAACTAAGCTCTAAATACCAAATGATTTTTTTGTTTTTATACTCCACAGACTTACCTACCTTCAGAAAGAACAGAATATAACACACACTTTTTTTTTTTTAGCCTTCTCCTTGGACCCATTTTATATCCTCATTCTATTATCAAGTTAAAAAAAACATAGGAGTTTATTTTCTACCTACAAAAGTAATGGTTGGCAATTTAGAAAACTTAGAAAAACAAAAGAAGAAAAAAATAAGAAGAAAAAAGTCTCCTACAATCTCATGATTATGGAATGCTGCAAACAGCTACCATTTATGGAGTATTTGTTGTGTCACCAGGTACTATGCACTTTTTCTGCATTATCTCAATTAAACCTCACAACAGATATGCGGTACCACCTCCATTTTAACAATGCAAAAATGAAGAGCAGGGAACAGAAGTAACTTTGTTAGCTCACAGCCACACACTGGGTAGGTGGTGTATTAAGAATTCAAACCCAAGCTCTCAGACTCTAGAGCATGAGTTCTTAACTACTACAGCACATTATTACATTTCTGGTATGTTTTTCTACATTGTCTTATGTCTCCCATTTATGTCTATTAGAGCTATTAAGAAATTCCCAAATGGGATCATATAGAAACATATGAGTTTTATAAAAACATAGAGTTTTTATAAAACATAGAGTTTATAAAAACATAAGAGTTTTTACAGAGTGCTTTTGTTTTCTATTTAAGACATTAAGAATAGTATCCCATGCTAACTATTTATTCATTCAATATTTATTTACTGAGTACCTATGACGTACCAAGCACTAACCCAACAAATCAGTGAACAAAACAGTTTCTATTCTCAAGTGACTTACATTCTGGTACAGTAGACAATAAAGAATGTTTAATATTTCTTTAAATATTAAATATTAAATGTGTGATAATTTTTAAAGATAAATGTTTTAAAGAACAATAAAGCAGCTGGGAGGTGAGAAAGTGAGAGAAGGGATGCTATTTTCTGTAAGATGTTCTATGCTATAGCTATAACATCACTATTAATCAATGTCCTGTTAATGAACATTTAGCTTGCATCTAACTTTTTACTAATAAATACCATACTGAAACATCCTTGTACATCACCTGTTTGAACAACTCTGATGATTTCCTTAGACTGAACTTCTAAAAGTAAAAATGTATTTTTTAAGGGTGATGCATCTTAAATTCTCCTCTGTAAAGTGTCGAGGAATTGCATAAATTGTATACACAACAAATACAAAAGAATACCTCTCTTTATAATGGGTATTAATTAAAACAATTTAATAGGGGAAACAACACATTATCATTAATTTGCACTTTTAGAATCAAACCTTAGTTGGTTTCTCATAGTTTTCCTAGTTTATAATTATCTGCCTTTTCAGTTTTTAGTTTTCTGAATTTTATAAGGTCAAATCTCTCAATCTTATCTTTTTTTATTTTTTTTTTCATTTATTTTTTATTAGTTGGAGGCTAATTACTTTACAATATTGTAGTGTCAATCTTATCTTTTACACTTCCTTTTCTTGCTTTTATATGTGTAGAGCACCAAAAGTAAAAGTGAAGTCGCTCAGTTGTGTCCGACTCTTTGCAACCCCATGGACTGTAGCCTACCAGGTTCCTCTGTCCATGAGATTTTCCAGGCAAGAGTACTGGAGTGGGTTGCCATTCCCTTCTCCAGGGGATCTTCCCGACCCAGGGATCAAACCCAGGTCTCCCGCGTTGCAGGCAGACGCTTTGCCGTCTGAGCCACCAGGGAAGCTCCAACTTCCAACGATAGATATTAATTTGTACTTTCTTCAGGTCTCCATTTAAAATCACCTAAGCCAAAGCTCCAATACTCTGACCACCTGATGAGAAGAGCCAATTCATTAGAAAAGACCCTGTTGCTGGGAAAGATTGAAGGCAGGAGAAGATGGGGATGGTAGAGGACAAGATGGTTGGATGGCATCACCGACTCAATGCACTGAGTCTGAGCAAGCTCCGGGAGATGAAGGACAGGGAAGCTGTCCATGCTGCAATCCATGGGGTCGCAAAGAGTCAGACACAACTGAGCAACTGAACAACAAGCTTCTTTTTAGAACAAAGTGAGTTAAAAACAAATTCCCCTCCACATTTTCTCCAAGAAGATCATCTGCAAAGCCTCTGAACAGATAATAGGAAATATCTTATATCTTTCTTCCAATACTTGATAAAGTCAAAATGGAATGGAAAATCAGATAATCCAATTCTATGAAAAAATTTTAATATTTCTTACCTCGACCTAAAACACAAATAGCCATTAAGTTCGATGAATAATAAGTAGAATGGAATTTCAGTAGCTCTTGTCTTACATCAATGCCTTCTTGGTTTGGTCTAGTCTCTAGAGTATATTTGTTACCTGAAAGGAATGAAAAACATTTCTAAGAAAAAGCAAAATATGTGAATTTCAAAGTTTCACAATTATTACAAACATTGCTTTAAGGTAAACTTAAAGAACAGAGTCCAAACAAACACATTCATAATGATTAGTCAAGTATGTTTGACCATAACCTGGATAAACGGGACAGTATAGAACAAACTAGTAAAATTTTATCTATAGAGCTTTCCCTCTGGAACTTGAAGTGCTTTATAAAAGTTATAGTTCTTAAAATTCCTATGAGGTGGCAGGTATTATGAGCACTTACAAGACAAAAATGAGGTCCACATGGCCTCCATTCACACTTACTTTAATTTCCAATTCCCTAGGTGGCTCCAAAATAATTGAACATAGTCACTGAGGGATCTTTTCGGAACTTGCCAAGTTCCTTGTGGAAAGAAATGTACTATTCTTGGCTGAAGCATTAAATTTGTGATGTGAATTCTCATGAATTTGATCTAGACTGGTAAAAATAGGATGCAATGCTATTCTTGTAAGTCTCAAGCGATGTATACAGAGTCCCACTATGAGATCTATTATGAAATTTAATAACTAATTCAATTAGGATAAAATGTGCATGTCAAGAGCAAATAGTCCAACTGTCTACTACATTTCTAATAAAGATCTTGCCACTTAAAGGGTGGGAGGTGGAATTTCAGTAATTTTGGTATCTCTCTAAAAATGGCATCTTGACTAGAAATATCTTAAAATCTAGTATAGTAACTTTTATTGTTCTCACTTATACAACTAAATGGGCTCCTGGTAGAACATATTCTCGACATGTTTTCCCCCCGCTTGGGTTATTACAGTGGCCGATGAACTGGCATTTAGAGAATCTCTCTTTCACTAAACTGGGATCCAGAGAGAGCCACCAGATGGTGTTCTCAGATCCAGTCTTTATTCTTGAAGAGCTGCATTGTACTCTTAGCCAAAATTCATGCCCTGAATGCTTCAATCAACAGATCTAGTGGAGTGTGCAAGAAACAGTCCAGCAAGTACTCAGTAACCTTTTTCTAGTTAGAAAGCAATCAAATGTACTCATATTCACTGGCAGCAGCCTGCTAATCAAGTTTCCAGGTTCTTCACCAGTCCTCTCAGTTTCAAGAAAGATCCAGTTTCACTCCAGATCTGCTCTACCTGAGGTCCTAAAACACCCCCTCATTCTACCTGCAGAATCCAGATGATCTAAAAAGTATCCAGAGTCCTAACTCCTCAGAGAAAGAAAGAAAGAAAAGGACAACAACAAAAAGCTCCTTTTCTGGGTAATGGTTAAAAGTTCTCTCATATTAAGGTGAAATTTGAGTATACACTTCCCTCTTTTATTAAATGAAGGTTCTAGAAGCCTCAGTTCCAGAGGGACTAGGCCCTAGAGCTTCATTACTCATTTACACTGCAAAGCACAGATTCTTACAATATGTGCATTAAAATCGACACACTGGGACACCCAAGCTTGGAGAAATCAGGTTTTATTTCAAGACTATAAGTGTGATAGCGTCAGACAGAAATCACATTTTCAGTGTCAAGTATGATTTGATGTGCCTATTTACAATCTGGTCAATATACTGGTTCTTAAAACAAAACCTCAAATCAAAATATATAGAGACAAAGGATATGGCCTTTGTCTAGAACTTAAAATTCTTTCAGGTTGACTAATTCTAGTTCATTCTGCTTTGATTTTAATATACCTGAATATCTTACCATTCTAATCCCTACCCTTTATCTTTAGGTTCATTTAAGAACACAGAGATAGGGACTTCCCTGTTGGTCCAGTGGCTAAGACTGTGCTCAAAATGCAGGGGACCTAGGTTCGATCCTGGGTCAGGGAACTAGATCCCACATGCCACAGTGAAGATCTAAGATCCTGTGTGCCACAACTGAAACCTGGCACAGCCAAATAAATATTTTAAAAATAAAAATGGAGATTAAAAAAAACAAAAACCAACACAAAGATAAAGCACGAATATACCCTGAATACACTAAGATATGTATCACCGGAAAAATAACTGACAATGCCATAGTAAAAAGAGCCAGAGGACCACAAGAGAATACTATACTGCAAAAAGAATGAATAACCCACTGTTCATATGCAACAGTGTGGAGGAATTTCACAACTTTCAGGTTGAATGCGAGAAGCCAGACACAAGACACAGAAACACTGTTATTATTTCATTTATATGTAACATAAAAACAGGCAGAACTAATCTTAGTCATGAGAAGTCAGAATGATGTGATCCTTGGGTAGGTGGATAATAACTACCAACGGGTACAAAAAGGTGCTGGTAATCTGTTTCTTGACTAGTGCTGGGTCTACGGTCTGCTGAGGTTTTTGAAAATTCAATGAGCTGTATATAAATAAAAGCAGTATATTCATTCAACAGATTTTTCAAATAGCAGCAAAAGTAAAATAACCACAATAATTTATCAGAGCCACACACACTTTTCAGTATATTTATTATATTAATAATTCAACAACAAATTAAAAGAAAAATGAGCCAAAGGAGCTTTTTTGTAAACAGCAACCTGGCTCACCTAAGGCACAAAAATCTAGTGATTCTGTATCTCTCGCCAAATGGCTAAATAGAGACTCAATCACATTTGCTCTGAAAAGTGGCTTTTAGCCATAAAGATTCCATTCTGTGAAATCTACATATTCATTTATTTGCTACCTAGATGTTTTTAGGCTTTCTAATATGTAATGATGGAAGGGAACTCTGGTCCATTTGGGAACACAGCGCAGAATGCCAGTCCTGTATCCCAAGACACTCCTGAATTAGAAAGAGGAAATGGTCTCCACTATGACTCTCTTGGGGTCAGACAGTCAGCTCTTAATACACTGACAGAAAAACATGAATACTAGGAGTAAATGGGCCAAAGAGTCAGGCTAGTTATTAAGTTTACTAACCCTTTTATTAAAATCTTTTTATTATTTTATTTTATTTTTTGACACAAGAACAGTTTTATTGAAATCACTGAACACTTGTGCAGTACTCAATATTAGGATTTTGAGACGTTTTAGACAAAATCTGTTTCCCTTTAAACAGATGAAGAAACCGGATCCTAATTGGTGGAAGTTAATGCTTGTATCACACAGCTAATGGGAGGTAGAATCCTAAAATTTGCTTCCAACTTCCACCTGTACCTGAACATGCCAGCTAAAGTGTTTATTTTTGTGTTGCCTAAGTTTAAGGACCATATAATCTGGATTAACTTTACAACAATAATTTAAAAGATAGAGAAGGATCCCATATTACAGAAAATTTTAAATCGACTATTTTACCATTTATACAATGAAGAAAACTGACAACAGGACAGGCCAGTGGTCAGCCAACACACAACACAATGTGTTAACAAACAGCCGAGAGATTGACGGGTGTCACTTATTTCCTTCCATATTACATCTTGCCTTTTTTGGAGGGAGGAAGGAATAAAAAGGCAGATTCATTCAAACCAGCCCTATTAAATATACCAATTAAGTTTATACTTTCTTTTCTGAAATTAATATTTGAGTGGAACATGTATTAATTATTCACATAACACTAGTTTTCTACTGCAGTTTAAGAATCCAGCAGATGATGCTAAGGTTTAGGCAAATCCTAGAAGTCACTGCACTGAATAGTAACTACTCAATTATGAACTGGAAAATAATACTGGGTAATTATTTCAAAGTATAAACTACAGATATAATATTAAAAAAACATAGATAGTAGAAAACTTTTCTAACTTAAAAGTATAAATGGTTAAGTCAACAGTACCTACTTACAAATTTCACAAAATCAGAATAAACACTCAACTTTTAGGAGGGGACATTTCAGTCCTGCCTTTACCACTTAATAGGAGAAAGATCTTATATAGGTGGGTCCTTTTGTTCAAGGGTGATTTCAAAACCAACTTACAATGTTAATATTATATCTTGGATCCCTGCTAAGAAGACTCTTCAAGGATCTTTCATACTAACTTGAAGTTGAGGAACATACAATTTGAGAAACTAAATGATACAGCCCCTCCCGCACACCCAGGTAACCTACAGAGCCTGGATCTGAACTTTAGTTCCTAGAGATCTCTCATCTCTTATCCTGAGATACTCAACCTGGGCTCTACAACAGGACACAACCTGTGTTCCAGGGGGCACCACCTGGCTGATACTAATACTTAGGCGTGCACAGGACTGAGTCAAAAAAGCGCTTCAATTCAATTCATTCAAGGAAAGAAGAAAACTAACATGCTTAGTTTACATAGGTTTAACCTACTCTGGTCACCCAGTAAACCTTGAATTGGCTCCCACTATTGGTAAATAGAATACTTTTGTATTTGGTACAGAAACCAAAAAATTTAGGTAAAATCAAGCCTTTACCCTGACAGTTCAAACTATGTTTATTTGTGTGTAAAGTGCCAGTTTTATATACAAATCATAAGTAAACTTTAAAATCTGCTCAGAAGCAGTGAGTCTGATGTCTTCCTACAGTCTTGTGGCAGTTACTCTTTAATCTTTCCGGATCAAACTCGCTGGAGTCCCTACACTTGGAGGCCAAGAAAGGGGCTGTTAAGAGCCAAAGTAAGTCCCGTTCAGCTAGCCTGCTTGCAAAACCCAAACACGGACAAGATCTTTCAAGAACCTGAGTAGCTTCTGACTACTTTCCATCTAGGTGACCCCACTAGCATTAACAGGATTGATTTTGAGGTAGCTACACAGTGCTAAAGATGCCATTAGTGAACATGATGGACAATTCATGGTGTAGCTCGTTGATATGGTTCAAGTAGCTGATTTTTTTCTTTTTTGATGAGAAGGAAAAAAAAATCAGCAAGGTAAGAGCACATACATCTTCAGGTCACTTAGAAGTCGGCATCCAACGTAAAGGAATTCTCTGTCGGACTTGACATCACGCCCATCCTCTGATACTCGCCTACTCTCTTCTCAAAGAAGTTAGTCTTCCCCACCAATGAAATATTTTCCATAAAGTCAAATGGATTTTCTACTCTGAAAA